CCCCCCACCACCTTGCTGTAGACCCTGCCTCCCACCGGAATTCCTCGTCAAAGGAGAAGTTGCCGCTCGCGTGAGCGTTGGTTTGTCGTGTCCACAGCCCTGCAGAGGCAGCGGCGGAAACTCCGCTTGGCCGTTTGCGGGGGGGGGCGTCCGTAGGGACAATCACCATTGGTTCCCCCCCCCCCACTAAGCGGTACCCGTTTAATCTACCCCGGAGAGGTGATGAGCCGAGTCACCCCCCCAACCGGGAGTTGAACTCACAACCTTTCAGACTACGAGCCGCTGAGCCCGTGTGGGTCGATATCTACACCAGTGGATGGCAGACTCAGAAAACTTGATTTGTTACTGGAGGAATCCGATGACCTATGAGGCTGTTTATTTTCGCAGATGCCCAGTCGGGGCATGGGGTCAGAACGTTAAGACAACAAACACAATACACAAACACGATAGGGGTGCAATGTTTGGGAAAGGTTAAAAAGTCACGTGAAAATATATATATTTATACAATCAAACTGAATTATCTTGCCAGGTCAAGTCCACTGGCCATCATAAATGACATCACTTGTAAATTTACAGCAGCAGCCAAAATACTCGCTAAGCACGTGATGTTGTTTCTAAACGTGGAGGGGGAAAAAACGGAGGACCCGGAGAAAGAAATCCACGCGACCACGGGGAGAGAGAGAGAGAGACACGCAAAGTTCACACATACAGCAGGTGTCAGGGTCGCGATCAAACCCACGACCTCCTGTAAACCAGGCGAGGTAGTTGACATCTCGCCACGGCGACACCCACAGCAAGGCTGGCATGGTGGCCAGTAGATGGCAGTACAGCAAAAAGCTTCGCAATGTGATCCCCTCCACGGGGAAAAAATCCCACGGCTTGAAAAGAATCCGAATATTTATTTGTACTGGAGGAATCCGATGAGCTATAAAGCTCTTTTTTTCAAAGATGACCAGTCGTCTCGCAGATGTCCAGTGAACATGAAAAGGAACTGGCGCAAGCATGCGATGCATGAACCCTCAAGAAAGTGTGGATCTCCTACAACCCTCGTCTTCCTTGATCCATCACCCTTTTCTCCAGCCTTGCCTCTGCCCTGCACACCGCTGGCATGGCACACAGCTGATGCTGCTGCTGTCCATGTTGTGTCTCTCCTCTCGTTGCTTGTCTGTGCCCTCCCTCCCCTCTCCTGTCGAGGAAGGAGGTGTCTCGCTAACAGCACTCGCTCCCGACTATTCGCGTGGTGGACGGGATCTTTGTCTTCTGCAGTTGTCCTTGTAGAGCGCACGCACGCACGCACACATGCACGCATGCACGCACGCACGCACGCACACATGCACACATGCACGCATGCATGCATGCACACATGCACACATGCACGCATGCATGCATGCACGCATGCGCCACGCTTCATCGGCGACGTTAATGTGAAGGTGAAGTCGATTCCATTGATGAGCGGCCATTATTTGATTTTTAATGTGTGGAGCGGTTGCCCGATCTCTGGCCGCCATGAGCCCGGCTACGCATTACCCGAGAGTTACGGGTTGGTTATCAGGTCCGCCGTGCTCGAGTGAGCCGCGCGTGCGGGGAACGTTGTGGCGGAGTGGCGGCACGATGGTTAGCCACGCACTGCGCTACGAACCCGGCGAGCCGAGTTCGATTCCCGCTCGCTCGCGGCCACCGACACCACCGGTGATGATTGTCTGACTGGTCCTGGGGCCTTCCCCTTGGTCGACTCGGCCTCAAATGAGTACCTGGTGCAGTGTGTAAACATCGCCGCTGGGGAGACAAAGGCGGCCGGGCGTGGTGCTGGCCACCAAACCCTCTCGTGTGCCGCGCGGTGCCTTCGTAGTTGCTCGCTACCAGCACTTGCCCCAACAGCCTGTTCAGGCTACACGGGGAACTTTGTCTGTGGGTGTGTGGAACATTAACCCATCTTTCACAATACTGATGAAGCTGATAACAGTATCAGTTGTGTGGGTAGCCACTGACCCTATGGTCAACAAAAATAAAAAAAAAGATCCCCGTGTAGCCTGAACAGACTGTTGGGGCAAGTGCTGGTAGCGAGCAGCACCTATAAAGGCCGGAGCGGCACACGAGGGGGTGGGTGGCCAACACCACGCCCGGCCGCCTTTGTCTCCCCAGTGGCGACATTTTCACACTGCACTAGGTACTCATTTGAGACTGAGTCGACCGAGGGGAGGCCCAACACCGGCTCAGATATTCGTCACCGATGTTGGTCGGAATCTAACTCTGGTCGCAGGGTTTGTAGCGCAGCGCGCTGACCGCTGCACCGCCGCTCCCCACGCGCGCGCACACACACACGTGCTGAGCTAAATCAAAGTGGCCGTTAAAAAAAATCCAGCCACCAGCATTTCAGAATCAGAATCTTCATCTGGACCGGAGGAATCCGACGAGCTTGCTAAGCTCTTCTCCACGTCCGTACAGTCGCCGCGCATTGCTTAGTTTCCACGTGATAATTTTGTAGGCCCCCACTGTCGATCCACGCTGGACGAGTCCCATCCCCTACGCTGCGTCAACCACTGGGGGTTGTTCGACCGTAATTGGCGCCACGCTGGTCACTGCGGCTTGGTGAGAAGGGGGTGGGGGGGTGGTGTTAATAGATTCGAGCCAGATTGCGGATGCCTTGGCGAGGCCAAATCATGGATTGGCTCCGGCTCTGCAGGCAGCCGGTGGGCGAACCGCCACCCGGCCACGTCCGCCAGGGGCCTCGCGCTGGCGTGGCTCGGATGCCACGCCAGTGGTGAAGTCGAAGGTGATGCCCCCAAAAATGAATTTGTGGGAGCGTCACGATGGCTAGGAGATGTTGACTACCTCACCCAGTATGCAGGAGGTCGTGGGTTTGATCACGACCCTGACGATGCCTTCCTGTATATTGGAGGCTGCAAGTTCTCTCTCTCCCCGTGTTCGCGTGGATTTTTCTCTGGGTCCTCCGGTATTTTGCCCTCCACATTTAGAATCAACGTCACGCGTTTCGAGTGTTTGGCTACTCCTATAAATTTCCACGTGATGACGATAAGCCGCTCCGTTGGGCTATCATCACGTGTGGCCGAAGTAGCTTCTGAAAATAAAAATTAGTTTATATCATGGGACCTTTTTGTCAGTACCAAAGTATGAAAAATAAGAAAAGGTTTTACCCTTTTCTGGCAATAAAACAGGAGGTGTTAAGATGCTCAAACATCAAATAGCTGCTCACCCTGAGCTATTAATGCCCTGATAGTGCATTGCCTTTGTAGTGTTCACCTTGTGGCGTTCTCTGGTCTGACATTGGTGGTAGTGAGACTGGGCCATGAAGAAGCCTGCTGTCTCTGGTGTAGGCCAATCAGTTTCAAAGACAATGCCATCTGTTATCAGAGCCATGTTTGTTTGCATGTTCACCACAAGTACAGTGTGTGGTTAATGCAGACTTGATTCCTTGCAAAAGGTATAATCGTTTTGGCGTTTGAACATCTTGACACAACTGTTTTATTGCCAGAAAGGGTAAGAAAAAACGTATTGTTAGTTTTTCATTGCACAAATACAAAGATCCCCCATATAGCCTTAACAGACTGTCAGGACAAGTTCTGCTAAATCCAGCTCCTATGAAGGCCTGCAAAAAAAAAAATAGTTTAGATTGCTTGTTTGAATCGGGGGTGGGCGACGGTACGGTGGGGCGGTGCGATTAGCGCGATCGCCTCCCCGCGGGGCTCCGCTCGACGGGCCAAGGGTTGTGTAGCGTTCCCCTCGTGTGTGTGTCCCCCCCCCCCCCCCCCACTAAGGCGCTCTCCGTCTCCACGGACGTCACCGGTGTCGTTATGGGCCCCCCTCCCTCCCCTCCCCCTCCTCCCCACAGGTGCCGCCGCACGTCTGGCTCCCCGCCCGGGCGCAGCGGGCGGACGCCTCACTTTGTAACGAATTTAAGGCAGCATGACACGAGCAACGGAAGGTGAAGCCTGCCGGGTGGGCCCCGGTAGCGGGCCGGGGGGAGGCAGCCGTGGCAGCCATGACGGCCGTGGCGGCCATGACGCCCCCCTTGTTTCCGCACTTGCTTCTCCTGTCGATCGCTCTCTCGCTCTCTCTCGCTCCGACCTCCAGCTAACAGCAATCTGAAGCTTCGCTTAACCCGCGCGGGGTCGGCCAGGTCTCGAAAGGAGGTGGCTGCGCAGAGCAGGAGGGGGGTGCAATCCAAGGCCGCGCCGAGTCGTCGGCGCTGAGATGCCGAGCGTCTGTCACGGGTCTCAGCCGCCCACGATGTAAAGCGGTCTCTGGGCCCGGTCATCAGCGACTCGCACAGAGACCTCACATAGAGACCCTTAGACTCGCATAGAGACACATAGACTCACATAGAGACCCGTAAACTCCCATAGAGACCCGTAGACTCACATAGAGACGCATAGACTCGCATAGAGACCCGTAGACTCGCATAGAGACCCATAGAAGCACATAGAGACCCATAAACTACATAGAGACTCATAGTAGCAAATCCAGATCCATAGAACACAGAGACCCATAGAAGTACATAGAGACCCCCGAAGACTCGCATCGACCGGTTGTGATGGAACTGGGTTTCCAAGTGTCAACGAGTTGACGGTTCTAAGCGCGTCTCCGTTGACGGCACAAAAACGATATGGCATTCGGTTTAGTTCGGCACTTAATTTGGCTGCGTTCCTCTTCTGAGATTGAACAGTTGTCGATTTGAGCGGTGTCTCGACAAACATTGCCCTCGGCCTCAATTTCGGAGCTTTGCCCTCGGCGGCAGAGCGGGGGGGTGGGAAAAGTGCCGCCCCACTAAATCCGCGTGCGAACCAGGGGTGGGTGGGGGGGGCCCGTTTGTGAAGAAGGGAAGCTCGGAGGTAGCTCTGCGGTGTCCGCTCCGCAGACTGTTCCCTGGCGTGGAGGGGTCTGCGCCGCCGCGTGCGTGGCACAAGCGGGGCGGGTTCGTCGTCCCGTGACGATGCATCGCCGATGGCGCAACCGAGACGGACTGAGAGGGAAAAATGTTTATATGCAGGGTGCTTAAAAAAATGCTAACACTTACATGGGACTGTCGTTTTTAATGGAAAAAGAATGGACAAAACACTGTAATATGATAACAAATGTATGTTAATAGCTTAAAAAAGTTCACCATCATTGTCAACACGCGCCTGTAATCTTCTCCAGGTGGTCTCCAGAGCACGGAAGCACATTTCTTGTGGTGTTGTTGCAAATTCTAAGAAGTGTTTTTGTAAGCACCCTGTATATACACAGTAGGTTCTCGATTATCCACGTGCAGTTCTCTTAAGCCCAAATTAATAACCTAAAAACAGCTATGCATTGTTATTCTTGGAGATGTTTATTTATAAGTAACACGGTGCTTAAATCGAACAAATATGTTACTCCGGCTAATCCTAAATCCACGTGATCGCCGCTTCAGTAGAGTAGTTGCAATATCTTTACAACGGTGGGGTGGAGTTTGATTGATGTTGATTGGCGTGGCTCTGCTATCATCCACTGAGTGGGCCAAGTCCTCTGTAGGGGAGCAGCAAAGTGTCCTCGCCGAGCTGGCGCATCGATCGGTCGACGTTCATATTCGTTCTAAATGTATACCCCTATATTTGTGGTTTTTGGCATAGAGATCCGCAGAAAATGTTGAAATTGTTGGATTATCCGCGATTTTGAATTATCCACGGCCGTCCTCCCTATCATTGGCGCCAATAATCAAGAGGTATTAATTAAAAATAAAGTAAAATTGGACGTCGGCACACCTTCCCCACTGCACGCAGCCAGCGCGGACTTTGTGGGAGCGATGCTGCCGCCTCTCCCCTCTCCCTCCGCCCTTCCCCCCGCCGTGAGCCGCGGCTCTGTCACCACAACCCCGATCCTTGCGCCGAGGTTTGCAGCGGTTCGTCGCGAGAAAAGCCTCCGCCGTCCGCGAGCCGTCGCTTCCCTCAGACTGCTCAAATCCGCTGCCGAATCTCCCTGTCTGTCGCCACAACCCTGATCCTTGCGCTGAGGTTTGCCGCGGTCTGTCGCGAAGAAAACCTCCGCTAATCGCGAGCTGTCGCTGCTCTTGCTCAAATCCGCTGCCCAATCTCCCTGCCGTGAGCCGCGCTCTGCCGCCAAAACCTCGCTAGACGCGAGTGGCGCAACACGTTGGCAGTCGAAGGCCGTCGCGTCTGCTCTGCCGAGCGCGAGCCACTGCCTGGGGGCTCCATGGTGGCTCGGAGATGTTGACTACCTCGCCTGGTGTGCAGGAGGTCGTGGGTTCGATCCCGATCCTGACGCCCTGCTGTATGTTTGGAGTTTGCGTGTCTCTCCCTCTCTCTTTCCCCGTGGTCGCATGGATTTTTCCTCTGGGTCCCTCTGTTGAAGAGTATTTGGCTGCTATGAATTTCCACGCAGGAAAAATACTTTTTTTATTGAGCTGTCATTTGTGGCCAGGTCGCTCTTCTGAAGAAGAGCGTGGTAACTCAGCGGGGACTTACCTGGTACAAAATAACGAAAAATTGTTTATAGTTTTAGTTGTGCCCAGAGAAGGAACCTTTTTTTATTAAATCGCCACCTTGTTGTGACGTACGAATCGTAAAGCATGGGACGGTAGCGGAGTGAGAAATGGGTCAAAGGTCGAAGAGCGACACAAAAGACAAAGACCCCCTTAACAGACTATTGGGGCAAGGGCTGCTAGGGAGCACCTATGAAGGCCGGCATGGCACATAACAGGGTGGGTGGCCAGCACCACGCTCGGCCGCCTTTGTCTCTCGAGTGGTGATGTTTGCACACCACACCAGGCACTCATTTCAGGCTGAGTCGACCTAGGGGAGGCCTAGGACCAGTTCAGATAATCGTCACTGGTGTTGGCCGTGAGCGGGAATCAAACTCGGGTCACCGGGTTCGTTGCGCAACGTAGCACTAAACGCTTACACTACCGCTCCATGCACGCACACACACTCGCACCCACCCGCACACGCACGCACACGCACTCGCACACACACACTCGCACCCACGCACTTGCACGCACACGCACCCACGCACGCACACACACACACACACTCGCACCCACGCACACGCATGCACGGGGTTCCGCTGACCGTTGAGGAAGAGCGCGTGAATATTCACGGAGTGGAAGCCAGGGGGGGACACCTAGAGACCAAATGGTAAACCCACTGTGGTCTGCGCTCCTTCAGCGGAGGAGGAGGAACAACGACACTCTCTCTCTCTCTCGTCGTGGCAGCAGCAGCAGCAGCTGGACCTCCACATTGACACCGACATCCTGAACAACCACCACCACCACCACGCATCGCTGCTGCTGCTGCTGCAGCTGCCATCGTGCGCGAGAATAGAATAGAGGGCATTCAGGCACTGACCCTTGTGCATAGCGTGCTGCAAACGAGGGGGGGGGCAGGGGGGATGGGCACGTTTCCCATAACGTCTCTCTGTTGTGTAAACCTTAACCCTCCCCGGCGTTATTGACGAACCCTCTGGGCTTTTCGTTGGCCGCGCCTGTGCCCCGCTGCCAACGTGGCGGCCGCATCGCCGGCCTCGCCGTCGCGATCGCGCCGCACGTACGGGGGAAGCAGAATCAGAGGATCTTCGTCCTGGAGGAATCCCATGAGCCTGTGAAGCTCACTTATTTCAGAGATGTTCCAGTCAGAGCAGCAGCAGCAGAGAAGAGAGTGATTCACTTGTGCCCCCCCCCCCCCACCGCCCCCACCCCCCAGCCAACGTCGATCCGGCACAGCGATGAATCGTCGTTGAGAGACCGGCGAGCCGCCTTCCTGGCCGCGCCCGCGGGTGAAGGTCCCCACCTCGCGCCGGGAGCACTGCACCCGCTTTTCTCATCTCTCCTCCCGACGTGCAAATTAGGCCCCAAGCACACTGCACGTGCCTGATGATTGGCAGTCCGCGGGAATGTCTCGAGGACCGTGGTCGAGCGGCACCGCCGATCTGCTCGCACGGCCCTGCGCGTTGCCGTGGGGCCTCTGCCGCTCGTTGCTCACTCCCTCGCAGCTGAGCTCCACCTCCTCGATCATCACCACCACCATCAGCATCATCATCACCACCATCAACATCATCATCACCACCACCATCAGCATCATCATCACCACCATCAACATCATCATCACCACCACCATCATCACCACCATCAACATCATCATCACCACCACCATCAGCATCATCATCACCACCATCAGCATCATCATCACCACCACCATCATGACACGCCTCGACCACCACCGTCGCAAGCCTTTGCCACTCGCATCACCTTACCACTATCATCATCATCACCACCGCCACCACCGCCATCATTCACCACCACGCCTCGACCATCACCGTCGCACGCCTCCCACCACCATGGCAAGCCTCCATCAACACCACCGCCGCCGCTGCTGGCAAGGGGGGGTCTGTTATGAGGGGGGTGCGGGTCTACGAGACCTGCAGCAGTTCGTTGGCAGCGACTGCTCCCGCTGTTGCATTGAGGCACTGGCTTAGGAGACGGACTTTGCGGGGGGGGGGGGGGGGTGCTTGGACAGGGGACTTGTGTGTGCGTGCGTGTGTGTGCGTGTGTGTGTGTGCGTGCCTTCATAGGTGCTCGCAAACAGCACTTGCCCCTAAAGTCTGTTAAGACTATATGGGGGGTCTTTGTTGTGTGTGCGTGTGTGTGCGCGTGTTAGGAACCCGATGACCCGAGTTCGATTCCCGCTCACGGCCAAGACCAGTGACGATTAGCTAAAGCGGTCCTGGGCCTTCCCTAGGTCGAGTCAGTTTCAAATGAGTACCTGGTGCGGTGTGTAAACATCGCAACTGGGAAAACAAAGGCGGCCGGGCGTAGTGCTGGCTACGCACTCCCTCCTGTGCCACAGTGCCGACCTTCATCGGTGCTACTTGCGAACGGCACTTAGCCCAACAGTTTGTTTGAGTCTACAACGAGGGATCTTCGTCTTGTGTGTGTGTGTGTGCGCGCGTGTGTGTGCACGCATGAGTGTGCGCGCATGTGTGTGTGCGTGAGTGTGTGTGCTGCGTGTGTGCGTGCATTTAACCCGATCCTGGTCCGATGACGTGTGCGTAGGTCATCGGTTTTTCTTCCGATTCCATTCTGATGACGTGTGTGTGTGTTTAGAGTTCATAGTCGTACCCTCGTCTGTCTCGCCACCGTGTCCCTCTCCCCCCCGCCCACCTCTCTCTCTCTCTCTGACCCGTCCTGGACGACTCCCCCCGTGGCCCCGCAGGATAGTGCTGATCAGCGCCAAGCGATCGTTCTGCACCGTCTTCTCGGTGCTGCCATACCGCGAGGGCACGCACCTGGGGTGAGCCGCCACGCCGCCACGCCGCCACGCCGCCACGCTCGCCGCTCCAGCCAGGAGCCGGGAGCGGGGAGCCCACAACAGCACCGCGTGCTCACACTCGCTCTGTACCAGTGTGACCCCCCCCCCCGCCATCACATTGTGGTCCCTAAACCCACAGCACTTGCACCTGCAAACCCATAACACCATGGTCTATAAACCCCTGACACCAGGGAGTCCAAACCCATAACACCATAGTCTATAAACCCATAATTCCTGGGTGTGACATCTCACAGCACCTGGGTCTGTAACCCTGATACCGATGCCTCTTAACTCGTAATCTCTGGGTACGTGTCACCTGGTTCCAGTGATCAATTTCAGCTGGGTCCGACTGATTCGGCGAGCCATGAAGTATTTACACACCCGGCACACCGCAAACGGTAGACCATTGAACGCCTGTGGCGACCTGTCACTTGCTTACTGCAGTCAACCAGCAACTGGGAATTCATATTGTATCACCTAAGCGCAAGATTCTGTATCCGTGTAGCGAGCTGTCAGACTGCCCCGTGCCATATGTATATTGTATATTGAACTTTTTTCGCACCGTACGCAGCCAACCGTTGCTAATCAGAGGTGCGGGGGTGGAAGAACAACAAACTAAACACGAAAAGCAGTTTCAAAGAAATGTGTCTTCAACCCGGGCTTCATAGGCGCCGCTCACTAAAAACACTTGACCCAGCAGTCTGCTTATTCTATACGGTGGGGGGGGACATTTGTCTTGGTGTGTGTGGACGCAGCGAGGTGCGGGCCGAACCCGGGAGGCAGAGGCATGCATCCGGGGGTGTCCCCACCTCCACGGAGATGGTGATGGGCCTGGAGGGCGTGGAGCTGGGAGCCGATGGCAAGGTATCGATGCTTGTACAGACAAAGATACCCCGTTTAGCCTTAATGGACTTTTGCGGCAGGTGCTGTTAGCGAGTACTTACAACTAAACTACTATAAACTATTTATGTTTTGCCAGGTAAGGCCCCACTGAGCAATGTAGCTGTTTTTCAGAAGCGATCTGGCCACATATGAGAGCTCAACGAAGTGGCTCATTGATAATTGTTTTTTTACCCTTTTATCTGGCAACAAAACTGACACCTTTTTTTTTGCATTATACCTGCAGTCATAATGCAAACAAAAAACATAACTGATAACGTATGCACTGTCCTTGAAGTTGATTGGTTCACACCCGAGACAGATTTCCTTAGAGCCTAGTCTCACATGGTGTTGGACCAGATGACGCCAAAAGGCGCACAACTCTTATTTTGTTATTCTTTGGTTCTTTCGGTAAAGTCACGTATAAAGAAAAAATAATAAATTAAATAATAACATACGACGTTTCGATTGCAACACAAGCAATCATCATCAGGTATAATGAAATAGCGACATAAAATCTAACCAGAAAAAATTATAGACAGACATATAAGCAGACAGATATCACCAAGATACACACAGCGGGCAACACAGGTACAGGGAGGGGTGATCGTCTCTGTGGGGTGGCCTTAAATAGACAGAGGGGGCGGAGGCAGCCTCCGCCCCCCTCTGTATGTTATTATTTAATTTATTATTTTTTCTTTATACGTGACTTTACCGAAAGAACCAAAGAATAATTCCTGCAGTCACGAAAGCTCCAAAGTTCATATTTTGTTACTGGCAAATGAGGTTCCAATGGTGTAAATGCTTACCCCGAGCTCTCATACTCTGATGGTGCATTGTGCATTGTCTTTGAGTTGTGCGCCTTTTGGCGTCATCTGGTCCAACACCATGTGAGACTAGGCTCTAAGGAAAGCTGTCTCGGGTGTGGACCAGTCAACTTCAAGGACAGTGCATACATTATCAGTTATGTTTTTTGTTTGCATTATGACTGCAGGTATTGTGGTCTATGCAAACATGACTCCTTTTTTAAAAAAAGGTGTCAGTTTTTTGTCTGCCAGATAAAAGGGTAAAAAACAATTATCATATTTTGTTACTGGCAAATGAGGTTCCAATGGTGAAGTGGCTCATTGTGTGAAAATTTATAGCAGCCAAACTCTCTCAACGTGTGATGTTTATTCTAAATGTGGAGTTGCCTGGTTTGTAGCGCAGTACGCTAACCGCTGCGCCACCGCTCCCCATACGCACACTGACAGACACACACACCGCGTTACAACAATGCTCACACGCGCTCGCGCTGGTCATGGTGGTTGTGGTCGTGGTGATGATGATGCTTTTGATAATGGGAGTGTTGGTGTCGGTGAAGATGATTATGTTGATAATGATGGTGAAAGTGGTTTTGCCAGTGATGGTCTGGCCAGTATCGATAATGACGGTGGTGAGGATGATGATAATGTATGTACGTTGAACTTCTTTCGCACCATACGTAGCCAACTGTGCTAATTGGAGGTGCGGGGGAAGGGCAACAAACTAAACACAAAGAGCAGTTCTAAAGATAAATTAGTTTTCAAACTAGATGATTTGAAAGTGCATAGCTCCAGTGGCTTCCTAATAGCATTCCAGATGGTCGCAGAAGCACATCTAAAAGCGCGGTGCAATGATGCAGTGACCACCGTCTTTGCCCAGCGGTTAGCCAAAAGCCACCGCCGCTACTGCGAGGATGGCCGGAGTTTGCGCGATGGTTTATACTCTTTGACGAGGTCGGCGAGGTATCGTGGTTCATTTGTGGCAAGAACTTTGTGTGTAATGATGATGATGGTAGAGTTGACGATGCTAGTGGTGGTGATGACGATGATAACAGTGATTATAATGATGGCGAAATTGCTTTTGACAGTGATAGTGGTAATGATGATGATGGTAGAGGTGGCGATGCTGACCATGGTTGTTGTGACATTGGTGATGATGATGAAGATGTCGGTGATCACAGTGATTATTATTATGATGATGGTAAAAGTGGGTTTTGGATTTTTACAGTGGTGGTGTGTATGGTAATTATGGTAGAGGTGATGATCAGGTTTCAGTTTCATGTATTAGGTATAGCCCAGTGAGCCATGTGGCTCTTGACTCGGGTGCAACCGCAACAAACAAAAACATGAACAAGAAACATCTTAAAGTGACTACACGCAACAGAAACATCCAGGAAAAACAGCAAAAGTCTTCCATAAAAAAACACCGAATATCAACGCTGTGTGCTAAAATCCCTGTGGGATGCAAGTCAAACAATACCAACCATAATACAATTTATACTAAAGTTATCACGCTAACTCTGTACTTCAACAAACAAAAAAATATGATGATGGTAGAGGTGGCAGTGATGACAATGGTTGTTGTGAAGATGCTGATGACGACGACGACGGTGGTCTTGAGGATTCGTGACGAGCGTGCCCCCCCCCCCCCCCCCCCGTGTGCGTCGTACAGACCGTCTCGTACGCTCAGTTCCTCTTCCCGACGTTCGCCTTCCTGGGCCGGAGGGGCGATGCGCCGCCGCCACTGCCAGGGGTGGGCGGTGGGGGCAGCAGCTCGGGGCCGCAGCCCCTGCAGCAGCGCAACAGCACGGGCCGCAACCTGGCCCTGTTGCGCCAGGCCACGTTCGAGGGCCTCAAGCCCAGCAGCCCCGCCGCCGTGGAAAGCGGTGCGTCTCAGCGGGGGGCGCGGGGGGGGGGGGCATGGGCGGGGATGGGTGGTACGGGCGGGCGGGGGTGGGCATGGGCGAGGGAAGGGGGAACGGGCAGGAGGGGTTGCGCGGGGGGGGGCTCTGGCGGGGGGGGGCATGGGCGAAGGGAGGGGGGTTGGGCGGGGGGGCACGGGCGGGGGGGGGTCAAAGGGCAGGGTGGTGAAGTCAGGTGACTGCATCAGGAGCAGTGAAGTGTATTGCTGGGATGTCTCTTTTGTATCGCCGTGATGTTTACTTTGTGGATTGGGGCATTGCGTCGTTATACATTGTTATGGTCTGTTCTGGATGACCAGTCTCATACTGCTGAATAATTTTTTATTTTACATTTGTGCATCATCAGGTCTATCCGCATCTACTGCTGCCATCGTTTGTGCAGTGGATGCGGTTTAGGGTGGACCATGAGCAGCTTTGTGGAAGACTAAACCCAGGGATCTTCTGCGTTTAGGTCTTTCCTGGGTTAAAAACAAGCGGAATACATAATAGTAATAATAATTCGGAGTATATATTGGCATGGCGCGGCCTGGCTTTGCACCGCTGTGCCCCGTCGGTGTGGGACTCACAGCGAGAGCCGTGTGACCCCCGTGCAGGCCTGGGCCTAGATGCCGTGGAGTTCCTCGAGTACAACCCCAACCTCCTGGAGGACCCGCAGTGGCCGTGCGGGAAGCACAAGCGTGTGCTCATCTTCCCCTCCTACATGGTACGGTCCGATCTCACCTCCTACTTGGTATGGTCCGATCTCATCTCCTACATGGTATGCTCCGATCTCACCTCCTACATGGTACGGTCCGATCTCACCTCCTACATGGTATGGTCCGATCTCACCTCCTACATGGTATGGTCCGATCTCATCTCCTACATGGTATGGTCCCATCTCACCTGCGACATGGTATGGTCCGATCTCACCTCCTACATGGTATGCTCCGATCTCATCTCCTACATGGTATGGTCCGATCTCACCTCCTACATGGTATAGTCCCATCTTACCTATATCGGCAGCATAATGGAACTTTCAGAGATACGAACAAACCTGTTCGTATGACCAGTTGCCTGTTCGGACCGAGAGTTGGAAGTTCAAACTCCGTGCAACAGATGGCGGTGATGGCATCTACATCAGCAGAACATGAAGAACCAGTGGCATTTACATCTGCAGAACATGAAGAACCAGTGGCATCTACATCTGCAGAACATGAAGAACCAGTGGCATCTACATCTACAGAACATGAAGAACCAGTGGCATCTACATCTGCAGAACATGAAGAACTAGTGGCATCTACATCTACAGGAAATTATACAACTTTTAAAGTTATTCCCCATGTTTAGTGTACACGCCATACAACATGTTTGGAATCGACAGGAGTAAAGTTGGACTTACGAACCTCTGGAACCTAACTCATTCGTAAGTAGAGCAGTCCCTGTATAATGTAAGTATTTAACTATAACATGAGAGCTGAGCTTTAGTTAACACCTGGCGATGCTGGATGTCATCTTCACGAAAACGTTTGGCTTGCTTTTCAACATTATCCAGGGTTTTCGCTGATTCAATCAAAATCAATTGGCGAATGTGGCCATTGTCATAACAACTTGATTTGGATCAAGTTGTTTGGGATGGCGGAGGGAACAGCTAACGTTAGACCTCTACGCGATCCAAGCCAAGAGACACTGATGGTGGATCATAATGCCACTAATCAAAGGATGGCACGGTGTTTTTTAATCATTCATTCATCGCGTTCATTGTCACCACCGGCGCCATGATCAATCCACTGCTGGATGAAGGCCACCCCAAGCCATATCGTCGTGTTTAGTTTGTTGTCCATACCACCCTCTCCGCCGCTGCACCTCCGATTAGTACGGTTGGCTACGTATGGTGCAAAAGAAGTTCAACGTACGTAACGTACACACCGTCAGCGCACAGTTCTTGACCACCAGTGGGCATAGTCAGGCCATGCAGAGGCCCCTGGAGACCCAGGAGGTGGGTGGAGGGGGGTGCCGCATGCCACGTCGAGGGGTGGGGGAGGGCGGATTATTCATTAATTGTGGGGTCCTCTCCTGCGTGAGACCCAAAGCAAATGACCATAAACTAAAACTATTGATTCTTTTTTATTTATCAATGTAGCTCTTTTTCAGAAGTGACGCTGGCTATATGATAGCTCAATGAAAGTGACTTTTCATCATCATCATCACGTGGAAATTTATAGCACCTGCCAAATACTGTGAACGCGTGATGTTGATTCTAAATGTGGAGGGGAAAAACCGGAAGACCTGGAGAAAAATCGATGCGACCATGGGGAGAAGCGAGAGAGAGAGACACGCAAACCCCAAATATACAACAGCAGGCGTCAGGGTCGAGATCGAACCCACGACCTCCTGTAGACCAGGCGAGGAAGTCAACATCTCCTAGCCACCGTGATGTTAACCCCCTTTGCTCTGGGTCGCCCTGGGCACAGAACCTGCTGTGCGTGTGATCCTGTGACAGTTTTGTCGGTGCCCCCCCCACCCACCGTGTACCCCCACACAGACGACGATCATCGAGTACGTGAAGCCGTCCGACCTAAAGCGTGACATGAACGACACGTTCCATGAGAAGTTCCCGCACATCAAGCTCACGCTGAGCAAAATCAGGAGGTGAGTCTCACCCCACCTCCCTCCCTCTGCTCCGTCCCTGCCTGTCCTCCCTCACTGCCTCCCTCCAACCCTCTCCTCCTCCCTCTCTCCATCACTGCTTCCTTCCCTCTCCCTCCCTCTCTCCATTACCGTTTCCCTCCCCCTCTCCCTCACCTCTGTCCCTTACTTCCCTCTCCTCCCTCCCTGGAGTCTCTCTGGGCTCTCCCGAGGCTCGGGGGGTAAAGGAAGGCCGTTGGTTGTAACGCGGCTCGGCCTCTCGTGACCAACACCACGGCTCGCTCCACTGGGTCTCCGACCGTGCGCGAGTGGGACGCGTATCCCATCCGTGGGCCGCGTCGAGTGGAGGAGGGAGTACGACACAACGTGCTGCTCGCGTTGCGTTGGAAACCCTCTGAAAGCCAAAGCACTTGCCCCAACAGTCTGGTAAAGGCTATACGGGCGAGGTATGCTTGTCTTTGACACGCGTGTGTGTGAGCGGCAGTGCAGCGGTTAGCGCTACGCTGCGCTACGAACCGGGCGACCCGAGTTCGATTCCCGCTCACGGCCAACACCGGTGAATATTATCTAAATTTGTCCTGGGCCTCGCCCTAGGTCGGCTCAGCCTCAAATGAGTACCCGGTGTGGTGTATAACACCGCCGCTCGGGAGACCAAGGCGGCCGGGCGTGGTGCTGGCCACCCACCCCCTCGTGTCCCGTTTCCGGCCTTTCGTAAGTGCTCGCGAGCAGCACTTGCCCCTACAGTCTGCGAAGGCTACACGGGGGATCTTTGCATTATTATGTTTGTTGTGTGCGGCGGTGGCGGCAGCCTGAAGCGCGAGATGCGCAAGATGGCGCTAGAGGAGTGCGCGCTGGAGGAGTCGACGGTGGCCGTGGCGTTCGTCTTCTTCGAGAAGCTCGTGCTGCAGGGCAAGCTCAACAAGCAGAACCGCAAGCTGTGCGCCGGCTCCTGCCTGCTGCTCGCCGCCAAGATCAGCAGCGACCTGCGCAAGCCGGAGGTCAAGAACCTCCTCGACGTGAGGACGCAACGCGTGCATCACAAACATCACCCCCCCACCCACCCCCGTGTAGCCTGTAACAAGATTGTTGGGAGCAAGCGCTGCTAGCGAACAGCGGCACCTAACGAAGGCCGGCACTGTGACACACGAGGGGGTGGGTGGCCAGCACCACGCCCAGTCGCCTTTGTCTCCCCAGTGGAGATGTTTACTACATACCGCCCCCAGGTACTCATTCTAGTACGCTGCCCCCCTCTGCTGCCCCCCTCCGATACCCCCCCTCCGCTCCCCCCCCCCCTCCGCTCCCCCTCCACATCCCCTCCACTCCCCCCCCTCTGCTGCCCCCCTCCGCTCCCCCTCCACTCCCCCTCCACTCCGCTGCTCTCTCCCCCCACCCTTTGTGCCACCAGAAACTGGAGGAGCGTTTCCGCGTGAACCGCCGTGAGCTCATTGCGTTTGAGTTCCCTGTGCTGGTGGCCCTCGAGTTCAGCCTCCACCTCCCCGAGCACGAAGTGCTGCCCCACTACCGCCGCCTCGCCAGCCACGCCTGAGCCGCCCGGGGGGGTGGGGGGGGCGGGGGGGCCGCGGGGGACCGGAGTCGCCTCTGCAAGGTGCTGTCCCTCCAGAATCGGAGAATCGGAGTATTTATTATTTATTCTGGAGGAATCCGACGGGCTTTCAAAGCTCTTCTTCCACACGCGCCCATTAGGGGCGCGGTGAGGAACGCCGAGGGGTGATGCGGAGCCCAGACCCTGCCCCACGGGATGGTGAACCGTGAGTCCCTGTGCAGGCCTGGTGCAGGCCTGCTGCAGGCCTGGTGCAGGCCTGGTACAGGCCGGTGCAGGCCGGTGCAGGCCTGACACGTGTGGGCAGTCCCGGTGAGTTGGTTCGGTTCCTCCGCCCCCGCTCCCCCCGCCGAGTATTTGCAACCGCGGGAAAAGAAAAAAATAAACTAACATTCCTTACCCCGCGGGAAACCAAATCGTTACGCCGTCCATCGTGACCGTCCCGTGTTTGGTCTGCTGCCCGGATGGGCAGGCGCTACAATCCGCCCATGTGAGGGATGCGCGCACCAGCTCCGCCCGTGCATTTTCCACCGCGACGATTCCGGCCTGCCCTCGGTGAACCGACGTGGTCAAACATTCTGGTTAACCGACGTGAACCATTCTGGTGAATTGACGTGGTGAAATATTCTGGTGAACCATTGTGGTGAACCATTCTGGTGAACTGACGTGGTGAAATATTCTGGTGAACCAGTGTGGTGAACCAGTGTAGTGAACCGACGTGAACCAGTGTGGTGAACCAGTGTAGTGAACCGACGTGCTGAACCAATATGGACCGCCGGTGCCAATTGGTGCCGTAGGGTGGTGATGGGGGCTGCTAATCCCACCTTGCCTCCCCCCTCGCCCTGTGTCTGTGTGTTGGCGCCCATCCGCGTGCGTCGCCCGCGGTCACATGGGAGGCACCCCCCCCCAACCCCCCCCCCCAACCCCCTGACCCACTCCCCCCCCCTCCCACATTCAACCCCACGAGCCCCGCGACCTTGGTCCGATGTACATATCCTGTCGCGGCGCGTTTGACGCGTCGCGCTCCCGATGATGATTGTGCGCCCACGCGCCCCCCTGAGTTTACTCGCCAGTGCCAGCTTAGACTCCTACCCGCTAGCCTCGCCCCCCCCAGCCCCGCCCCTCGTGTTCGCTGCTCCCCCCCCCCCCCACACTGACCCCCCCCCCCCACTATCTCATGCAGCAGGCGATCGACGGTTCCGCTCGCATCGTGCATGGGGGTCGTGCACGCACACAGACACGCATCAGCGTTACCAATCCGTGTCTGTGTGTGTACACCGCTAGAGCTACTGGAGCCCGAGGCCAAAAGAAAGTATGCTACTTGCACCGCTGTAGACTCCTGATGCCAGTGTAGAGATCGCTAGTTGTTCCACTTTAGACTCTACTAGAGTCTGATGCCAGTGTAGAGATCGCTAGTTGTGTCACTATAGACTCTACTAGAGTCTGATGCCAGTGTAGAGATCGCTAGTTGTTCCACTTTAGACTCTACTAGAGTCTGATGCCAGTGTAGAGATCGCTAGTTGTGTCACTGTAGACTCTACTAGAGTCTGATGCCAGTGTAGAGATCGCTAGTTGTGTCACTATAGACTCTACTAGAGTCTGATGCCAGTGTAGAGATCGCTAGTTGTGTCACTATAGACTCTACTAGTGTCTGATGCCAGTGTAGAGATCGCTAGTTGTGTCACTACAGACTCTACTAGAGTCTGATGCCAGTGTAGAGATCACTAGTTGTATCACTATAGACTCTACTAGAGTCTGATGCCAGTGTAGAGATCGCTAGTTGTGTCACTGTAGACTCTACTAGAGTCTGATGCCAGTGTAGAGATCACTAGTTGTATCACTATAGACTCTACTAGAGTCTGATGCCAGTGTAGAGATCGCTAGTTGTGTCACTATAGACTCTACTAGAGTCTGATGCCAGTGTAGAGATCACTAGTTGTCACTATAGACTCTGCTAGAGTCTGATGCCAGTGTAGAGATCGCTAGTTGTGTCACTATAGACTCTACTAGTGTCTGATGCCAGCGTAAAGATCGCTAGTTGCACCCGCAAGGCCCTCGTGACTTGATTTATGACTCGGGACGGTGCAATGGGCCACAGGTGCTGCCACCGTGGTCTTACGGGAAGCAGCCCGATGGCCCTCTTCGTGAAATGTGAGAGTTTTGGGAAAAAAATTAATGACCATAATAATTAATGTTGCAAACAAACTCCTTCATGCATTCACTTGGGGCTGAGCTGCCAGGATCCTCGGGGATGTGGGGCCAAAGTGCCGCTTCCTTCCCGGCTTTGGGATTCGACCTGGCCAACAGCAGCAGCGTGCTTTAGCTAACAAACCTGGCCAGTAGTTTACACTTTAGTGAACACCCCTGGTGCATACAGCATGCTTTAGTGAACACACTTGGCCAGTATATTACACTCAAGCTAACAAACCTGGCCAGTACAGCATGCTTTAGCTAACACATCTGGCCGGTAGTTTACACTATAGCTAATAGACCTGGTGCATACAGCATATTCTAGCTAACACACTTGGCCAATATCATTCGCTTCAGCTAACAAACCTGGCCAGCGCAAACTTACGTTTAGCTAACGCACCTGCAAAGTATAATACACATTAGCTCACACAGCCGGCGCGTACCGCATGCATTAGCTAGCACAAGCGGTGTGTACCGCATGCATTAGCTAGCACGACCCGGTGCGTACCGCATGCTCCAGACCACGCACTGCAATGCAGCGCAGTGTTGTGAACGGAACTCTGGCTGGGCCTCCATAATAATTGGGAATGCTTTAAGCCTGAGCCTTGGCTTTGCGCCCTATCTTGTGCTCGCGTGTTTTTTGCGTGCAATTTAGTGCAATTAGTTAACGTGTTGCCAATTGCAGACGGTTGGAATATATAATATATACGAATGGCGGCGCTCTGTATGTACACGCCCTGACAATGAAATTAATGTGAACAATAGGAATGGGTTTAATTATATATAAGAATCAGATCTATATATAAGTATATTACAAGTTTTATATGTATAGAGAGAGTATATAAGTATGCGATGCATCTCAATTTTGACTGGAGCAGGTGGAGCTAGCAGAGGGCGCTGTCGCGTCGTCTCCGCTACGCTTTGTACGGCGCAGCGATGTCCGACATTTCGGTGCACGCGCCGGGAGCATTCTTCGGTAACCGAACGGAGCTTCCCCGATGTTCAGTTCATTGCGTGGGACGAACCCCCCCCCCCCTCGTCCCTGCCCCCACCCCGCGGAAGACACGCGGGAGAATCGTAGAATCGTCCGTGCGGCTTGGGCCGTGTGACGTGGTCCACACACGTGGCGACCGGAGGTGGCGGGGGCAGCGTGGACGCGAGGGGGTTGGCTCGCAATCGACGCTCGCCCCCAACCCCGCCGCCCTCCGGTCGTCGTCGTCCAATCGCTCGCGCCGCCGTCAGAAAGCCGAACGTGCCGGCAGTTCGTCGTTGTATTCCTCATCGCACGTACGGACAAGCGCACGGCCAGAGTATTTTTTTGCGGAATTTTCCAGTCCCCAGGATTTTATGCCTTGATCAGAAGTTTAATGACGTCGAATTTGTAACACACATAGTCTCCGTTGACTCTATCTCTCTCTATCTCGAGAGAGAGAGCGATAGAGGGAGATAGAGAGAGAAAGAGAGACTTGACTTTTAAACCACTTTTATTGTTGCCAGCAGCAATAGCACGGGAGCTGATTTCAGTACAAAAACACATGGAAATACAGCTTCAAGTGTGCACGTTACAACAAAACACGACTCGCGGAACATGCGCTGCACTCGCCAAGCACGACACAAACAGCACATCGTCGCGCATGCCATGCTGAGGTGATGCGTAGAGTCGTCTCTCCTCCGATTACTTCGAAAAGGCCGTTGCAGGAAATGTTTGAGGTCGTAGTGCGTCCACTCGAAGCTCCGCCACGTGTCCAAAAGGCTCTGGTAATAACCTGGCAGCCACGTGTAGTCGACCAGGCCCAAGTCTAACAGGAAGAGCTCCTTTCCCCTACCCCAGGCACCCCCCTGCGTCTCTCAGCAGGGTGAGGACCGGCGACTTCCAGGGTAGTTCCTCCCTTTCGTACAGCAGCCGCCTCACGGCCATAAGCCTGCAACTCATCACCCTGGCGGCGACGTCCACCAGGACCTGGCTACCCTCGCCCACCGGCCTCAGCCAGTGCTTGCTGTGCCAGACTAAGTGCGCGAGTGAGCAGTTAATTCTGGTGAGTAACCAGGCCGGAGGCTGGAGGGCTTTGGCCTTGTGGCACAGCAAATATGCTGGCAAGTTATTAGCGACGAGCACTCCACCCCTAAAGGATATCTGCGGAGTGAGGCACGCCCATGCCAGCATTTTAGCCTCGATCACGTCGGCCAGCTCGGTCCAATTGTTCTAAGCGATGTGTGGTTTCCCCAGGTAGACCCCCAGGTACTTGATTCCGTCAGCCTGCCAACTGATTCCTCCTGGGAGGAGCACAGAACGCACGCGGCAACGCGACCCCAACATAGAGCCTCATGCTTGGCCCAGTTGACCCTGGCAGAGGAGGCCTTCTCGTACACTACCACCGGCAAACATAGCGCGGAGGCGTCCTGTGCATCATTGACCACGATGCATATGTTGTCCCCGCGTACATCTTGAGCCCGAGGACTGCATTCTCAGATCCTGGGACCTTGAGGCCAGACACATTTTGTCTCAGGTGGCATAGGAGTGGCTCAATAGACACGGTGTACAGCAGCCCTGAAAGAGGGCATCCCTGTCTGACCCCCCTCGTCATGGGAAAAGGGGCGCCGAGCCGCTGTTTGATTTTCATGAGACTGGATGTGCCCATGTACAGGAGCCTAACGTGCGAGATGAAAGCCCGGCTGAAGCCTAATGACGTTGGTAGCTTGCCCAGGTACCCATGGCTCACTCGATCGAAGGCCTTCTGATCCAAGAAAAGGAGGCCTGAGTCCACGTCGTGCATTTCTGCGAGGGAGATTATATCTCCAACCGTACTGATGTTATCATATATGCACCGACCAAGGATACAATATGACTACTCTGGCCAGCACCTTGGAGAACATGTTGTAATCGGCGCACAAGAGAGGCACAGGTCGCCAGTTTTCATTGAAGCGCAGGTCTGCCTTCTTGGGCAGCAGGGTGACCACCGCTCTCCTTCAGCTCAATGGGAGTTCACCCTTCTGCAGGCTCTCTGTCATCAACTCCAATGGGCAGGGGCCGAGCCTATCCCAAAAGGCTGCATAAAACTCAACTGGTAGGCCGTCAATCCCTGGGGCTTTACCGGCTGCGAGCCCGTGGAGCTCCTGCAGGGTGATGGGGCTGTCGAGACGCTCCCGTTCAGAGTCGCCTAAAGTCGGGCCCCTATCTAGTAGCTCCTGGACAGCCTTGTCTTGTATGGTTTTGCCGATAAAAACTTGCTAATATAAATCCCTGGCGATCTTAGCGATTTGCCTCTCAGATGTGGTTCTTTGTCCATCTGGGGTTTGTGAGCTTAACATATTGTGAGTGTTTGCCAGGTTTTTTTGTAAGCGAAAGAAACATTTAGAGGGAGAGTCCATCTGCAATAAGTGCTGCATCTTGTTGCTCACGAATGACCGATGCGCCTGCTGGTTTGTGATAGACCTGAAAAGCCGCTGCTTCTCCAGCAGCATCTCACCATCGTGTATGCTCTGGAGTGAGCTCAGCTCTGCCTCAAGCACCAACAGGTCGTTCTGTAGTTGCTGTACGACCTCCTTCCTAGCGGTGGCGATCTGGCTTGTGAACTGTCGATCGAGAGCGCTGACCTGTGCCTTGGTGTTCTCTCACCATTACTGCCGGGAGCTGAAGCTGCTTTAGGCAGGCAGCCATTGACCCCAAAAGGCCTTAAAGGTTTCCTTAAAATCCTTGTCTTCAAGCCGCTGCACGTTGAGTCTCTGGTAGGCGCTGTGCTTGGAATTCGCAGGAGCACGGAGACCAAGTGGTAATCTGAAAACCCTCGAGCAAGTTAACCCCGCTGGCGTTTACATCCAGTTGATCGGACCTCGCGAGGCTTATCCTGCCTTGAGAGCAGTAGCGGCACCAGGAAGTACTGCCACTGGGCTGAATGCTGTAGTCACCACACGTCGAGCAGATCCAGTTTCAGTACCGGGTCTGCGAGCGGCCGTGCAGATTGCAGTGAGTCTCCGTGGTTTTGCAGTCGAGAGCCGGGTCCAAAGTGCAGTTGAAGTCTCCCCTCACGACCGTGTGCCCATCGTCCGCGTTGTCTGTCGCCAGTACGTCCAACAGCACGCAGAAGAAGAGCTTCTTCCCGGACGCCCTGCTTGGAATGTACACGTTAAAACACCTCAGCCTGGAGTTATTGAGGGCAAAATCAACAGAAATCAAGTGGCCTTTTACGATCTCTTTGAAGACCACGCCGTCTGGTACAAACAGCGAACCGAACACAATCGCCACTCAAGCGAGGTTGTCCTCAGCATGGCTGAAGAACGCCTAGAAAAGGCTGGCATTGGGCCTCCAGAGTGGTGTCAAGCTGCAGATCTGACCCCACCTCTTGTCGCTGCGAGCACTGTTGCAGTTCAGACTGGCTACCTTAATAGCTGTGAAGCCATGATATATGTTGTTGTGTTGTGATGGTGACAGTAGCTGCGGGGAATCACTTCTGAGCAGAAGTAATTTTCCTCCTCGCCTTGCGCATGAACGTGGAAGTTGAACTCAAACCTGTCGCGATTGCGACAAATTTGTTGAACGGCAATGAGGAAGGCCGTCAGGTCGGGGAAGAAGGCCTCAACCTTGACCTTACGCTGCCTGAAGGTGTACTTTAGAAAAAGGTGGATGTCCCCAGGCGCATATTCACCCTCGCCCTTGACTTGTGAGTAGCTCCTGTCACTCACGCTGTTCTCTCCGTCGGTCTCGGACACCTCGTCGTCTGCTCGCACGCTGGCCTGTGGCTCGGTGAACTCCTCCTGCCACAGGAAACGTCAGGGCCTCATCGGAAACGGGGTGGCTCTCCTCTGGCGACTGAGGCTCTGTGGCTTCCTCTTCGGGTGAGGTGAACCGGCCATTGTCGCCCTCCAGCAGCGTGGCACTATCAGGCGCTGCGCCGGCTCGTAGTTCGTCTTGCGGCCGAGGCAGTGTCTGGTGGTGGTGGTGGTGGCGGTGGGAGGAGGAGGTGATGATGATGATGACGGTGGTTTCTGTCAGTCGCCTCACGACACCCATGTGATTGTTGCGTTTCACGAATGCCACTGCCTTCCCTGCACTGTCCTCAAACTCGCTCGGCTGCTTCGCCATCTTGGCAGTGGTTTGTTCTGGCACCAACCGCGTCCCTCGGACGTTGACGGTTGGCGAAAAAGAGCCGTGCTCCTCGGCTGACCGTGCGTAGACCTCGGGATTTGGGAACTCTGAGAGATAGATAGAGATAGAGAGAGAGAAACTCACAGGCAAGCGGGAGCGCACCCAGAACCGGCAGCAACTGTTGCCTAAGCTCAGCTGTCCTACAGTGGCACGTTTGTCCAACCACATTAACGGAACATAATTAGGAAATGAACACAATTAATTCACGAAGCAACGGCACTGGGTAGTAGTAGTAGTAATAATGTGACAAACAAATAACATTTTGCATTCACGTCGTCCGCGTAACGCGATGCGATGCGCAGTCATCTTTATTAGCCCAGGGGGACCTCCCCCCTCCTCCCCGCTATAATGGGGCAACCTGCCCCCTCCCTCCCTGGACGTTCGATGAAGCGTCCCAAGAGTTTTCGAGCAAAGTTTGGGGGGGGGGCTATCATTGTCACCCCCCCCAACCCCAGCCAATGACAGTGGCGGTCCCAGAGGGCCTCAGCTGCTCTGGACAGCTGTTACCGAACCTCTCCATTGCTGCCCCTCCCCCCCGCCCCAGTGACTGCCGCCACCCCCCAGTGTCAACGGGCAGCAGTGGGGAGTGAGTGGAGACCGGGGGAATGTACGCCAGCCAGCCAGCTAGTCAGCCAGGCAGCCAGCCAGCCAGGCAGCCAGACGCGCTCGGTCGTGCCAACCTCCCGGTGGTGCGGAGTGAAGATCTTCCTGCACCGTGTCCGTACTGACTAGTGGGGGCCAAGGTGCGTGCGTGCGTGCTTAAACACGTTTGGCTTATGTCCTGCTGAGCAAGAAGAGCGATCCATTAACAATTTCCCTGTTCCGATGACGTACGTGTAAGTCGCCAGTTTTTCTACCGAATCTGTTTCGATGAGGTACACGTGTACACGTGTACACGTCATCAGGCGCGGCGTTGATGCGGTGTCTCGAGCGTGACTTCTACACGAGGGCCGACCGCCGCCGCCAGCCAGCCAGCCAGCGCTGTTGTGGCGATGCGCAGCAAGACCCGGACGTCTCCGGCGAGTCTCGTTCCGGGCCGGCCCGTAGCTTCGGCGACGTCACCAGCGCCTTTGGCCAGGAACGCGACGTGGAACGATGAGACGTCCCCCCCACCTCCCCCCACCTCCCCCTATTCCACGGGCCGACCGTGTGAATCCCCAAGTCTAAGACCGTCAGATAAAAAGATGACGATGACCGGCGGCCAAAATAACTGTGGCGCGTTTAGTTTTCTAAGCGAGGCTGATGAGGACACTGAATGTCGAAGGCTGTCCAGGGTTTCGCTCGTATTTAACCGATGCTGCTGACTTTTTGACGCACTTTCCCGAAGGCCCTTGCGGCTTATGTAATGTGTAAAGTAAAAAAAATACTTTACATTTTTCTATGTGGGGAGGGCGGCCGAGGGAAGTACGGAGGCGTATTGTCCACTTGGGTCACGTTTGTTCCCGTGGCCGCGTTGTGCACGAGGGCGTGCGGTGGTTGCCGTGCGTCTGGGAGAGAGTCGCCTGCCGGCGGCTGCCGCGTTTCGCACCAAAGATCAAACGTCGCCCCGCAGATTCCTCCTCTTCTCCATTCTGCACCGCGGTGGCTCCTTCTCCCCACGTCGTCCTCCGTGGCCGAGCCCCCGCATCGTCACGACGGCCAGCGCTCCCACCCCCCAGCATTGCCATGACGACAAGTGCCCCCCCCCCCCGTGTTGCCACGACGGCGAGCGGTCCTCCCCGCTTTCGTCTCAGCCCCCACGTTGCAGGTGTCTTGTCTCAGCGAGTGTGGGAAGAGTAGGCCAAACGTCCCCCCTCCCTGGAGCTCCCTCTATGGGGTTGGGATATGGTCGGGGGATGTTTCGCTCACTCGCTCCCCATCTGCCTACAACGCCCACTCGCTCGCCCACATCTACCCACCCACTCGCCTGCTCGACCCCATCTGCCTACCCACTCGCCCACTCACTCGCCCCCCATCTACCCGCCCACTCGCTCGCCCCCATCTGCCTACCCACTCGCCCACTCGCCCCCATTTACCCACCCACTTGCCCACTCGCTTACTCACTCGCTCACTCGCCCCCATCTACCTACCCACTCACCCACTCGCTCACCCCCATCTACCTACCCACTTGCCCACTCGCTCGCCCCCATCTGCCTACCCACTCGCTCGCCCATTCACTCACTGGAAACCACCACTTCTGTCACCCGCTCGCTGTGAACGGTCGCCAAACTTGGTCATTAAAGCCATCACGTCACTTCCCCGTGTGTTTGCCACTGCCAGTCATGTGGTGAAGTCTCGCTTTGTTTAATAACACGTGGTGGTGGTGGTTGGTGGTAGTGGTAAGCATTTGCGACCAATATTATCCACGATAGAGTTTTTTTTGGGGGTTAGATGACATCATGTTCACTCTCCGTCTGTTTAAGACCGAAACAGCAAGGGAAGATTTCTCCACAAGTCTGGCTGTCGCCTGACGATGCTGGTTGTTGTTGTTGTTGTAATCACCCGCGAATCGTCACCGGCTCCTCGAATTGTGTAAATGTTGCTGTGGGTATCACTCTCCCCAACACGCAACAACCGGCCAAGTGCTGGGCACGGGTCTGTTTACGTGACAAACCCTTCACTGGTTGGCTGCGTCGGGTGGTGGCGGGTTTAACGACGACACAACATTTGTATTCACGCAATCTAACCCAACAAAAAGTTGTACTTCTATTATGGAACTCTATCTTTGTTCAATTTTAGCCGAAACTTGGCTTTGCATTCTCGTACGGCACGTTGTCACAACCCCAACAAAACTAAAGAGCTGAAATAACTGCGGTGAATGATAACGACAATGGGGAGTCGTTCCCTCTTTGGCATGGATGGTAGTGGAGCTGAGTGGACTTGCCAACGACTGGTACCAGCGGTGGAGGAGGCTCGTGAAGGACGCTGCTAGGCAGTTGGAGGCAGTCGCCCTCCAACAACGGAGGGCAGAGGAGCGACGCTCACAACAACGAATGGAGCGTTGGGTGGAGGCACAGGTGGTGCATCGGCCACTCATCTCAGTCAACCCATGACACCTGCTGGGTCTGTCCCGTGACCTGCCAGCGGGCGTTCGACACTTCACATGGCCTTAAAGTGGACGTTGCCTGGCACAAGCGCTGTGGCGATGTCACTGCCACTTAGTGGCGAATGGCGGTTGTTGGTGGTGGTGGTAAACAGTCAAGGGAGGAAGGTGAGAGCCCCCCATAGAAAGGTAACAGCCCCGGAATCAGAATATTTATATCTACTGGAGGAATCTGATGAGCCATAAAGCGAATGTTGCGGTGGTGCTGAGCTTCCCGAAGTTTCCCCGAGCGGAGAGAGGGAGCGAGGGAGAGAGGGAGCGAGGAGCGAGCGTGCCACGCACTCCCCGGCGCGTCGCCGGCCGGCCGGACCTCCGTTTGTGCGCCCAGGATTTCAGGTGCAGGCGCCCGGATCCGGGGCAGGGAGGAGTCGGGGGGGGGGAGTAATCGGTGACTCGATAATCGGTAACTTACCGATTACAAGCTCCGTTGCTCGACCAATCGGATAAAAGTCTCGCCTCTGATTGCCGCGCGTGCCGCTGGATGGGTGGCGGAGGGGAGGGGTGGGTTTTTTCAAGATTTGGAGGCAGATGGCTTTTGAATGAGCCCCCCCGCCCCGCAGTTACCCACCGTAAAAACAAAAACATCAACGGTGGTCATTATAACGTTACATCGACCGACTTCATTGAATAAAAACTATTAAATAATTTATTTTACCAGGTGAGGCCCCACTGAGCTGTACAGCTCTTTTTTCAGAAGCGACCTGGCCATCGCGAATGATAGATCAACGAAAGTGAGATCATCATCGTCATCATCATCCTCGTCGTCATCGTCGCGTGGAAATTTATAGCAACGGCCAAACACTGTTAAACGCGCGTGACGTTCATTTTAAATGTGGAGGGGAAAGAAAACGGAGGACCCGGAGAAAAATCCACTCGACCACGGGGAGAGAGACACAAATACAGAGGTTCGGGATCGAACCCGCGAACTTCCTGCATACCGGGCGAGGTAGTTAACATCTCCGAGCCACCGCGGCGGCCAGCATCGACCGATGGCTCCGGTTGACTCTTCGTGGTCGTCGCGAGCTCGGGGTTCGGAGGTCGTCGTTTCAGAAATGACTTTGGGCGATCGCAAAAATCTCCATCCCTTTCTCGGCCGTCGTCTGTGCCAGCCTTGCGGGAAGGGGGCAGCTCGTTGTGCTTGGGTCTAAGTTGTCGTCGTCGTCATTGCTTTGAATCAGGATCTGCCGGTACTTTTCCAAGAGTTACATTTATTTTAAACACTTTTGATTGCCTCCGATTTTGCTTGAATGAATGAATGAAATAATAATAATAATCATCATCACGCTTTACCCGATTGTGTTTACAAGCGATCGATATTGTGCAAATGACGAAAAAAACTAATGTCACACGTTACTGTTCAGTTCTATTTAAATCCACCAATAAAAGCAATACCTGATGTACATATCCACCGTGCGTCCGCAAGTCGCCGAGGTCGTCCGCGCGTCTTTGAAACGGCGCACCGCCGGCCGCCGCAAGCCACGGAACACCCCGACAGTGAGAGGGGCAGGGAAGGAAGCTGCGCGCGGCCTCGCGTGGCCTCGCGCGGCCTCGCGTGGCCTCGCGCGGCCTCGCGCGGCCTCGCGCGGCCTCGCGCGGCCTCGCGCGGCCTCGCGCGGCCTCGCGCGGCCTCGCGCGGCCTCGCGCGGACGACGACTCTTCTGCCACAGTCCAACCAGACGGCACCGCACCGTCGGGAACGCGTCCGACCACGTCGTGTTTACGGAAGCACAGCGAGGGGTTCATTGTGGGACCTCCCTTGTCAGTATCGAAATGTAACAATAGGTTTTACGCCTTCTGGCAATAAAACAGTTGTGTTCAGATGTTAAAACACCAAACGGAAGCCTTTTGCAATGAATCATGTCTGCATTAACGACACGGTACTGGTGGCGAACATGCACGCTTTTTGTTGGGTGTTTTAACATCTTAACACAATTGTTTTATTGCCAGAAAGGGTAAAACCGATTCCTATGACCAAGGGTTTGTTGAGCACGAGTAACGATTTTGTTCTATTTTCATTTGACCAGGTAAGGCCCACTGAGCTACGTAGCTCTTGTTCAGAAGCCACCTGCTTATCACAAACGATAGCTCTACGAAGTGGCTTATCATCACGTGGACATTTATAGCAGCCACATACTCTAAATACGCCTTTATAAATGTGGAGGTGAAAAAGCGGAGGGCCCGGAGGAAAATCCACACGACCACGGGGAGAGAGTGGAAACTCCAAATATACAGCAGGCATCAGGGTCGAACCCACGACCTCCTGCATACCAGACGAGGGAGTTAACATCTCGCCACTGTGGCGTAACTCGTGGATGGATGCTCACTGTGGGTGGATCATGGCGCCACGATAGGAGATGTTAACTACCTCGCCTGTTATACAGATCATCGGTTTCATCTCGACCCCTACGCCTGCTGCTGTATATTTGGAATTTGCGGTGCCTCTCTCCCTGTGGTTGCGTGGATTTTTTTCTCCGTGTCCTTTGGTTTTTCCCTCCAATTTTAGAATCAACATCACACGTTTAGAGTATTTGGGCTGCTGCTATTCTTGCCCGCGTGATGATGATATGGGCCAGGTCGCTTCTCAAAAAGAGCTACGTAGCTCAGTGATGGGCCTTACCTGGTAAAATGAAATAAAAGTTTAGTTTAGGTGCAGTCGACCACGGAGGCTCCATTGTGTGCAGGAAAGAGAATGGTGCAGTGGAAATTAGAATATTTATTAATACTGGAGGCATCTGATGAGCGAAAAAAAAAATTTCACAGATGTCCAGCAATATAAACCCATCCTTGTATTGCACTTCATTGCTCCCACCTACGCTGCCCGCCTTTGCCAACCGGCACTGACCAAACAAACCTCCACGACCCGCACAGCACTGGGAGGCCCTCATCCAGCAGATAGACAAATGTAGCTGCACGGTGCTACTTCTTCTGCATCACCAGTTGGCAACTGAGCGGAAAAGATGCAGCATTAAAATTTGACGGTAAACACCTTTAAATGCCAGCAAAAGCCACCAATCGAGTCGTGACGAAGCCAACACGGTGGCGTGTATCATGTCGACAGCAGCTCGGTTTTTGCATCTCCACTACTCTACGGGACGTCTGGAAATAACATTACCAAGCTGCAGAGTGCGTACGCAATTGAGCACTGCAAGATCCGACCGTGCTGCATTGGCTTCCAGTTGTCGAATGAATACTTTGCAAGGTTGCGCTCATTACACACACAAAGTGCTTGCCACAAATGAACCACAATACCATTGCTGATCTCGTCAAGGAGCATAAACCATCATCACGCAAACTCCGGTCATCATCCTCAGAGCAGCAGCGGCTTTTGGATAATCGTCGAAAAAAGATGGTGGTCACCGCATCATCGCGCGGCACTTTCAGATGCGCTCTTGTGGCCGTCTGGAACGTTCTTCCTTCCGATATTCGGAATCCACTGGAGCTATGCACTCTAATCAACTAGCTTGACAAACTCATTTCTACGAGAACTTCTTTTGTTGTGTTTAGTTTGTTGTCCCCCCCCCCCCCCGCACCTCCGATGATGAGCACGGTTGGCTACGCACACGGTGCCAAAGAAGTTCAATGTAGACGCGTACAAAACAACGGCCAGCGGACAATGGGAACGCGCGGAAAGAGAAACGTGTGATTTATTTTTTTATTTGTAAATCTGCGTGCGGTACACGGCTGAGATCTCGCACAAACACACAAACGGCGGTGACGGTGGCACGCGGGCACCCAGCAGCAACATAACGAGCAACACAACGCGGTGGGGGGGACGTTCCTTTGGTTTTGATAAATGGCGACAACTGTCGTAGCGAGCGAGTGAGCGAGCGGGTCACGGTTTGCGGGGTCGCAATCGCCGATCGAGCGAAACGGTGTCACGTGAAGCGTTTAAATCGCTCGATTTTAAGGCAGCCGGAGCTGCAGGTCAGGGGGAATTGTGCCAGAAGTGGCAACCACCGTCAAATCGCAAGGTCATCGCCCCACAGTCCGAGTGGATTTACAGAGGGGGGTTTGCTGCCGGGGGCCCTCTTCCCGCCTCCTCGTCCTCTCGGTAACCTCGCCGCCCCCCCCTCTCTCTCCGCGTCACGGCTCGTGAGGCTTGGCGAGCATCTTCATTCCAAGCCGGCCGACCATCATCAAGCTTCACGGAGCACAACGGCAACAAACACCACCACGACAACAACAATGAGAACACCGCAGCAGCAACAACAACACAACAGCGTGTCATGTGACACACGCACAGAGGGTGCCGCGCCCACCCTACCCACCACGACCCCTGCCTCCCCATGACCACCACGCCGCAGGCATCGGAGCAAGTCGGCAGCCAACCAACTGACGGTGAGCATTGCTCCATCGCCAACTTGCACAAACACAAGATCCCCCCCGGATAGCCATAGCCCCAACAAACCGTTGGGGCAAATGCGGTCAGCGAGCACTTGTGAAGGCCGATGCAGTGCGCACGGCGTGTGTGGCCAGCACACACGCCCCACACCAGCTATTCATTTAAGCCTAATTCGACCTACGGGAGGGCCCAGGATAATCATCACCGATGTTGGCCGTGAGCGGGAATCAAAACAGGAATCGCTGGGTTCGTAGTGCAGCTTAGTGCCAAAGGCTGTACCACCGCGGCCTACAATATTTCACGCACGTGTGTACGTACGTGCGTGCGTGCGTACGTGCGTGTGTGTGTAAGTGCGTGTGTGTGTGAGGTGGACTCAAAGACTCGGCCTCAAACGAGTACCTGGTGCGGTGTGTAAACATCGTTCCTGGGGAGACGCAGGCGGCCGGGCGTGGTGCTGGCCACCCACCGCCTCGTGCGCCGTGCAGAGCCTTCACAGGTGCACTCTAACAGCACTTACTCCCAACAAGAGACATGGGGGATCTTGGTGTGTAGGCAGTATATGGGGAGCAGTGGCACAGCGGTTATAGCGCTGTGCTACACTATGGGGTACGATTTGCACTCATGGCCACCGCCAATGACGATAAAATCTGAACCGGTCCTGGGCCTCCCCTAGGTCGACTCAGCCTCAAATGACTACCTGATGCAGTGGTATCAAACCAGGCACACCCGCAACACGAGGGTCAACGTCGGGCGCCACCGCACAGCACGCAGCGACGTTACGCAAGACCCCACGACGCCCCCACACGCCGCACGAGATGTGCGGCAACGCGCCGCGTAACAAACCGCAACGCGTGTCGCCTACTGCAGCGCATAGCACGACACGGCACAACACAAAGATCCCCCCGTGTAGCCTGAACAGGCTGTTGGGGCGAGCGCTGTTAGCGAGCAGCAGCTATGAAGGCCGGCACGGCGCACACGAGGGGGTGGGTGGCCAGCGCCACGCCCGACCGCCTTTGTCTCCCCAGTTGCGATATTTTACAAACCGCACCAGGTACTCATTCGAGGCTGAGTCGACTTAAGGGAGGCCCTGGACCGGTTTAGATATTCGTTGCTGGTGTTGGCCGGAATCGAACTTGGGTCGCCGGGTTTGTGGCGCAGCGTGCTAACCACTGCACCACCGCTCCCCACGAGACCACACACACACCAACGCGGTGTGATATAACATTACACGCACCACACATGCTGGGGGGGGGGGGAGCAGTGCTGCAGCGGTTAACGCGCTGCGCGACAAACCCAGCAAACCGGATTCAATTCCCGCTTAAAGCTGACACCAGTGACGATTAATTATCTGAACCGGACCTGGGCCTCTCCTAGGTCGATTTAGCTTCAAATGAGTACCTGGTGCGGCGTGTAAATATCGCCACTGAGGAGACAAATGCGGCCAGGCGTGGTGCTTGCCACCCACCCCCTCGTGTGCCGTGCCGGCCTTCGTAGGTGCTGCTACTCGCAAACAGCACTTGTCCCAACAGTCTGTTGAGGCTACCCGGGGGATCTTTGTCTTTGGGGGTGAGGGATCTCACCTCGCGCCGGCTATGATCCCTGCCGGGATGAGCTTCCCCGAGTTGTAGAATCTCATTCCCATCACCCCCGTCAGCAACCCGGAGGCCGCTGAGAAACACAGGGGGAGCATGAGGGGCAGCTCAGGGGCACACTCGTCACACACTCGTCACACACCCGGCACACGTGGAACACCCGGCACACAGTCGGGACTATCCTGAACTATTTTTTATGTTACCAGGTAAGTGCCCCACCACTGAGCTGCGACGGAGCTCTTTTGCAGCAGCGACCCTGACTCTCACCAACGGTAGCTCAACTAAGCGGTGGCTTATCACGGGGAAATTCAAAGCAGCCAAATACTCTAACCGCACGTTTTTAAACATGCGTTTAGGCATCTACAACAATTACTAAGTCAACTGTTCCCGTCTTCAAAAGTAACTAATTTTATTGGACTAAATTGCCTTTGGATGGATAAAAGTTACTTGTAAAACTAAAATGATAGCTCAACCAAGTGGCTTATCACGTAGGAATATATAGCAGTCGCCAAATTACTGTAAACGCGTGATGTTGATTCTAAATGTGGAGGGAAAAACCAGAGGACCCAGAGCAAATTCCACGCGACCACGGGGAGAGAGACACGCAAACTCCAAATATCCAGCAAGCATCGTCAGGGTCTGGATCAAACCCAAGACCTCCTGTATACCGGGCAAAGTAGTTAACATCTCCTAGCCACCGTGATGATGATGAGAGCGAGAGACACGCAAACTCCAAATATACAGCAGCAGGCGTCGGGGACGGGATTGAACCTACGACCTCCTGCATATCAGGCGAGGTAGTTAACATCTCACCACCGTGATGATGATGAGAGACACACAAACTCCAAATATACAGCAGCAGGCGTCAGGGTCGGGATCGAACCCGCAACCTCCTGTATACCAGACGAGGTATACAAGATTCCGACCACGGCCGTTGGAAAACTTTCCGTCGCTCAACTCGCTCAGAATGTTCTTCCAGCTCGCGACGGCACTTGCCTGCTCCCCACCACACATCGCCATCTCCGCTCCAGCAAAAACCCCAAAAGGCTTTGTGTGGGAGACCTCCACGTAGAACAAGCGGGGAGAGCACACAAACCCAATGGGTGCTCGAACCCAGGCCTTCGTTGGTGCGAGGCCCCGGGTGTTACCACCGGCGCCGGCGGCCCCAGCGCTACTCACCGAGTGCGGCCCACACGTTCTTGGGGTCGTTGGAGGTCTGGTAGGCCCCGAACCCGGCCAGGCCCCCGAAGAGCAGGCCGGCCGCCAGGGAGGGGACGCTGCCTGCAAAGGCAAAAGGCAAAGATCCCACACCACCCTCCCAGCATAGCCACCAACAAACTATTAGGGCAAGTGCTGTAAGCGAGTAGCACCGATTATCAAAATGAGAATATTTATTTATTACTATAGGAATCTGATGAGCTATGAAGCTCTTTTTTCACAGATGTCCAGTAGGGGAACGGGTAAGAACATTACAACAAACAGTACAAAAACATGATCGGAGTGCAAAGTACAATGAAGGTAAACGAATCACCGAAACGCATACAAATACAACACGAAACCATCCCCATCCTACCAGGCAAAGCCCACTGAGATATAAAATTACTACAAATGTTAGCTCAACAGAGTGGCTTATTGTGGACATTTATAGTAGAAAAATCATCAAAATGTTTCTAAATGTGGAGGGAAAACCCGGAGGACCTGGAAAAAAAAATCTACGCGACCACGGGGAGAGAGACATGCAGACTACAAAGTTCAACATACATATGGGAGCAAGTGCTGTTGTCACAATTACACCGATATATTACACGTGGCCAATCAGCATACCAGTGAGGGGTGGTGTGGTGTGAGTGAGTGAGGTGTGGTGTGAGTGGGGGATGGTGTGAGTGGGGGGTGGTGTGGTGTGAGTGAGAGGTGGTGTTGTGTGAGTGGGGGTGGTGTGGTGTGAGTGGGGGGTGGTGTGGTGTGAGTGAGGGGTGGTGTGGTGTGAGTGGTGGAGGCCCCGCGCAGACGAGGCCGAGACGACGCCGCGGCGTACCTGCTTTGACGTAGCCGATGACGCCTCCCGAGGCGACGAGGGCGGCGTAGCCGTAACCGATCCAGTCCACGGGCATCCTGCACGCGGGCGGGCGGGCGGGGCGGTCCAGTTTGTTAACCACGACGAGGTGAAATAAACGCGGCCGGGGACACGGAGAGAGGTGGCGGCGTTGCCTCCTGCGCGAGGGCGACCTGGGGGCTTACGCCGCGTGAGGTTCGTGGCTCGAATCCAGTGGGCTGCCCTGGTTATCACTGCGGTGCGTTAACGTGCTTCTCCTGTCGTTAAGGTGAGCAGGATAATCGGGTGGAGCGCTGCGCTGCGCTACGGACCCCGGCGACCCGGGTTCCATTCCCGCTCACGGCCAACACCGGTGGCTGTTGTCCGAACCGGTCCTGGACCTCCCCTAGGTGCGGTGTTGTAAACATCGCCACTGGGGAGACAGAGGCTGGCCACCCACCCCCTTATTCCAGCCTTCGTAGGTCCTACTTACTAACAGCACTTGCCCCAACAGTCTGTTAAGGCTACACGGGGGACCTTTGTCTTTCCAGGGACGTTAACAATCCCACGTATAAATTCGATTGGGCTGTTGTGTCCTCGGCGTCGTGGTCCCAAATTATAGCAAAGTAAAAAAAAACGAATGACCTGCACATTGAGCGATTTGGATTATGCACAGCAGCCCCCCTACTATGAGACCAGGCTGAGTCTGTCAAACACAGCAGCAGCAGCAGCCCCCCTACTATGAGACCAGGCTGAGTCTGTCAAACACAGCAGCAGCAGCAGCAGCCCCCCTTCTATGAGACCAGGCTGAGTCTGTCAAACACAGCAGCAGCAGCCCCCCTACTATGAGACCAGGCTGTGTCTGTCAAACACAGCAGCAGCAGCCCCCCTTCTATGAGACCAGGCTGAGTCTGTCAAACACAGCAGCAGCAGCAGCCCCCTACTATGAGACCAGGCTGTGTCTGTCAAACACAGCAGCAGCAACAGCAACATCCCTACTATGAGACCAGGCTCTGTCAAACACAGCAACAGCAGCACCTGCCATCGTGCCAGCCTTGTGCTATGAGAATTGTGTAGATGCCAAATGCATTAAATTATCATCTCCCCTTGGAAACTTGCGGGACATGGGATCAAGTGGCGATTGCTTTGCCTGCCAGTGGGTGCCCCCCCCCCCCCCCCCGGAATCCTATAGAACGGCCGATATTGAATCCACGCATAAACGATCAAGGATCAATAATATTAACGTGTTTAAGCAAACGGATAGTCCACCGCCGGCTGCATTAAACAATTAAGTTGCGTAACTTGGCCACTGATGTTGCTGAACTGCGTGATAGCTGCAGTCAGGGGGGCACGGTGGTGGCACACGAAGTGGCACCTCTCCCAGTCCCACCGCTCCCGGCAGGACTTGTTGTGTGACAGCTGGAGACACTGAACTGGGGTCAATTGAAGGCCAATGTCTACAAATTGTTATCGAGGCTCCACCTCCCCTCCCCCCACCGTTTCCTATGCGCAGATTGTCAGTAGACCCCCCATACACAAGCTACGTATTTGGGTTACCCCCCCCCCCTTCCATGCGTACGTACTAAATGGATGTTCCCTAAGCGCGCTTGTGGTGGGGTAAATAGTGGGTACACCCACCTCGTCCAAGACGAACAAACACCGCCTGGAGGAGGGAGGGGCTCACGAGCCCCTAACCACCGTTGTCAGCAGCGGCGTGAGCGAGCAATTTACTCCAAAGCTAAACAAATATTTATTCTTCTACTACCAGGGTAAGGCCAACTGAGCTACGTAGCTCAATTCGAGAAATGATAGCCCAACGAAGTGGGCTCATCGTCATCATCGTGCGGAAATGCTGAGCAGCAGCCAAACGCTCGAAACGCGGGACGTCGACTCGACATGCGTGAGGGGAGAACCCGGAGGAGCCGGGGAGAGAGAGAGACACGCAAACCCCAAATACAGCAGCAGCAGCAGCAGGCATCGTCGGGGTCGAACCCATGACCTCCTGTACACCAGGCGAGGTAGTTAACATCCCCTAGCCACCGTGATGATGATGAGAGACACGCAAGCCCCAAATACAGCAGCAGCAGGCATCGTCGGGGTCGAACCCACGACCTCCTGTACACCAGGCGAGGTAGTTAACATCCCCTAGCCACCGTGATGATGATGAGATACATCGCAAACCCCAAATACACAGCAGCAGCAGCATCAGGCATCGTCAGGGTCGGGGTCGAACCCACGACCTCCTGTACACCAGGCGAGGTAGTTGACATCTCCTAGCCACCGTGATTATGATGATGAGAGAGAGAGACGCAAACTCCAAATATACAGCAGCAGCAGCAGGCATCGTCAAGGTCGGGGTCGAAGCCACGACCTCGTGTGTACCGGGCGAGGGAGTCAACATCTCCTCGCCACCACGGCGCCCCTGCACGTGAATGGTGGAGCGGTGGTTGGCGCACTGGGTACGAGTCCCGGCCACGGCTACCGTCAGTGGCGGTGACGTCGCCAGGGCGCTTGTGCCAGGCTAGGTGCACCTTGACACGGTCACGTCAAGCGTGGAAGGGTCGCTGCTGGCAGGTCACGGGACAGACTCAGATGCTCTCGGTTGACGCAGTGCCAGGCTAGGTGCACGACTTTACGGCACAGCAGTCAACCCATAACACCTGGGTCTGTCTCGTGACCTTCTCCTGCACCTAGCCTGGCACAGCAGTAATCACCCACGGCACCTGATGCTTCTATCCCGTGACCTCCTGCGGGCAGCGAGCCTTCAGACGACGACGCTCTCACGTGACGGCCTCAGGAGTGCACCTAGCCTGGCACGAGCGCCGTGGCGGCGGCGTCACCGCTCACTCGGTGGCGAACGTCGGTTCTTGTGAGCGAGAGGAGAGAGAGTGAGAGGACAGAGAGCCCGAGAGAGAGTGAGAGAGAGGAGAGTGAGAGAGAGTGTGAGAGAGAGGAGAGTGAGAGAGAGTGTGAGAGAGAGGAGAGTGAGAGAGTGTGAGAGAGAGGAGAGTGAGAGAGAGTGTGAGAGAGAGGAGAGTGAGAGGAGAGAGAAGTGGGAGTGAGAGAGACGCGACTAAGCAGAGGAGGTCACCACGTGTGCGTGAGGAGGAAGGGGCCGTGGCCACGCGCGGCCGGCGCGCTGCACGAATCGCGCCCCCCCCCCCCCCGGGGACGACGACGATCACGAACTTCGTCATCAGAAACATCGCGGAGGCTGCGGCTGTGCGTGGCATCTCCGAGCTCTATCCCGAGCTGCATGTCAAGCTGCATGTTAAGCTGCATGTTTCTAATCTGCATGTCAAGCTGCATGCAAAGCTGTATGTTGCTAAGCTCTATGTCAAGCTGCATGTCAAGCTGCATGTCAAGCTGCATGTCAAGCTGCATGTCAAGCTGCATGTTTCTAATCTGCATGTCAAGCTGCATGCAAAGCTGTATGTTGCTAAGCTCTATGTCAAGCTGTATGCTGCTAAGCTCTATGTCAAGCTGTATGCTGCTAAGCTCTATGTCAATCTGTATGTTGCTAAGCTCTATGTCAAGCTGTATGTTGCTAAGCTCTATGTCAAGCTGTATGCTGCTAAGCTCTATGTCAAGCTGTATGTTGCTAAGCTCTATGTCAAGCTGTATGTTGCTAAGCTCTATGTCAAGCTGCATGTTGCTAAGCTCTATGTCAAGCTGCATGTTGCTAAGCTCTATGTCAAGCTGTATGCTGCTAAGCTCTATGTCAAGCTGTATGCTGCTAAGCTCTATGTCAAGCTGCATGTTGCTAAGCTCTATGCCAAGCTGTATGTTGCTAAGCTCTATGTCAAGCTGTATGTCGCTAAGCTCTATGTCAAGCTGTATGTTGCTAAGCTCTAAGTCAAGCTGCATGTTGCTAAGCTCTATGTCAAGCTGTATGCTGCTAAGCTCTAAGTCAAGCTGTATGTTGCTAAGCTCTATGCCAAGCTGTATGTTGCTAAGCTCTATGTCAAGCTGTATGTCGCTAAGCTCTAAGTCAAGCTGTATGTTGCTAAGCTCTATGTCAAGCTGTATGTCGCTAAGCTCTATGTCAAGCTGTATGTTTCTAAGCTCTATGCCAAGCTGTATGTCGCTAAGCTCTATGTCAAGCTGTATGTTGCTAAGCTCTATGTCAAGCTGTATGTCGCTAAGCTCTATGTCAAGCTGTATGTTGCTAAGCTCTAAGTCAAGCTGTATGTTGCTAAGCTCTATGTCAAGCTGTATGTCGCTAAGCTCTATGTCAAGCTGTATGTCGCTAAGCTCTAAGTCAAGCTGTATGTCGCTAAGCTCTATGTCAAGCTGTATGTCGCTAAGCTCTATGTCAAGCTGTATGTTGCTAAGCTCTATGCCAAGCTGTATGTTGCTAAGCTCTAAGTCAAGCTGCATGTCGCTAAGCTCTATGTCAAGCTGTATGTCGCTAAGCTCTATGCCAAGCTGTATGTTGCTAAGCTCTATGCCAAGCTGTATGTTGCTAAGCTCTAAGTCAAGCTGCATGTCGCTAAGCTCTATGTCAAGCTGTATGTTGCTAAGCTCTATGCCAAGCTGTATGTTGCTAAGCTCTAAGTCAAGCTGTATGTCGCTAAGCTCTATGTCAAGCTGCATGTCGCTAAGCTCTAAGTCAAGCTGCATGTCGCTAAGCTCTATGTCAAGCTGTATGTCGCTAAGCTCTATGTCAAGCTGCATGTCGCTAAGCTCTATGTCAAGCTGTATGTCGCTAAGCTCTATGTCAAGCTGTATGTCGCTAAGCTCTATGTCAAGCTGCATGTCGCTAAGCTCTAAGTCAAGCTGTATGTCGCTAAGCTCTAAGTCAAGCTGCATGTCGCTAAGCTCTATGTCAAGCTGTATGTCGCTAAGCTCTATGTCAAGCTGCATGTCGCTAAGCTCTATGTCAAGCTGTATGTCGCTAAGCTCTATGTCAAGCTGCATGTCGCTAAGCTCTATGTCAAGCTGTATGTTGCTAAGCTCTATGTCAAGCTGTATGTCGCTAAGCTCTATGTCAAGCTGTATGTCGCTAAGCTCTATGTCAAGCTGCATGTCGCTAAGCTCTATGTCAAGCTGTATGTCGCTAAGCTCTATGTCAAGCTGCATGTCGCTAAGCTCTAAGTCAAGCTGCATGTCGCTAAGCTCTATGTCAAGCTGCATGTCGCTAAGCTCTATGTCAAGCTGTATGTTGCTAAGCTCTATGTCAAGCTGTATGTCGCTAAGCTCTATGTCAAGCTGTATGTTGCTAAGCTCTATGTCAAGCTGCATGTCGCTAAGCTCTATGTCAAGCTGCATGTCGCTAAGCTCTAAGTCAAGCTGCATGTCGCTAAGCTCTATGTCAAGCTGCATGTCGCTAAGCTCTATGTCAAGCTGTATGTTGCTAAGCTCTATGTCAAGCTGTATGTTGCTAAGCTCTATGTCAAGCTGTATGTTGCTAAGCTCTATGTCAAGCTGTATGTTGCTAAGCTCTATGTCAAGCTGTATGTTGCTAAGCTCTATGTCAAGCTGTATGTTGCTAAGCTCTATGTCAAGCTGTATGTTGCTAAGCTCTATGTCAAGCTGTATGTTGCTAAGCTCTAAGTCAAGCTGCATGTTGCTAAGCTCTATGTCAAGCTGTATGTTGCTAAGCTCTAAGTCAAGCTGTATGTTGCTAAGCTCTATGTCAAGCTGTATGTTGCTAAGCTCTAAGTCAAGCTGTATGTTGCTAAGCTCTAAGTCAAGCTGTATGTTGCTAAGCTCTATGTCAAGCTGTATGTTGCTAAGCTCTAAGTCAAGCTGCATGTTGCTAAGCTCTATGTCAAGCTGTATGTTGCTAAGCTCTAAGTCAAGCTGTATGTTGCTAAGCTCTATGTCAAGCTGTATGTTGCTAAGCTCTAAGTCAAGCTGTATGTTGCTAAGCTCTAAGTCAAGCTGTATGTTGCTAAGCTCTATGTCAAGCTGTATGTTGCTAAGCTCTAAGTCAAGCTGTATGTTGCTAAGCTCTATGTCAAGCTGTATGTTGCTAAGCTCTAAGTCAAGCTGTATGTTGCTAAGCTCTATGTCAAGCTGTATGTTGCTAAGCTCTAAGTCAAGCTGTATGTTGCTAAGCTCTAAGTCAAGCTGTATGTTGCTAAGCTCTAAGTCAAGCTGTATGTTGCTAAGCTCTATGTCAAGCTGTATGTTGCTAAGCTCTATGTCAAGCTGTATGTTGCTAAGCTCTATGTCAAGCTGTATGTTGCTAAGCTCTAAGTCAAGCTGCATGTTGCTAAGCTCTATGTCAAGCTGTATGTTGCTAAGCTCTAAGTCAAGCTGTATGTTGCTAAGCTCTATGTCAAGCTGTATGTTGCTAAGCTCTAAGTCAAGCTGTATGTTGCTAAGCTCTAAGTCAAGCTGTATGTTGCTAAGCTCTATGTCAAGCTGTATGTTGCTAAGCTCTAAGTCAAGCTGTATGTTGCTAAGCTCTATGTCAAGCTGTATGTTGCTAAGCTCTAAGTCAAGCTGTATGTTGCTAAGCTCTATGTCAAGCTGTATGTTGCTAAGCTCTAAGTCAAGCTGTATGTTGCTAAGCTCTAAGTCAAGCTGTATGTTGCTAAGCTCTAAGTCAAGCTGTATGTTGCTAAGCTCTATGTCAAGCTGTATGTTGCTAAGCTCTATGTCAAGCTGTATGTTGCTAAGCTCTAAGTCAAGCTGTATGTTGCTAAGCTCTAAGTCAAGCTGTATGTTGCTAAGCTCTAAGTCAAGCTGTATGTTGCTAAGCTCTATGTCAAGCTGTATGTTGCTAAGCTCTATGTCAAGCTGTATGTTGCTAAGCTCTAAGTCAAGCTGTATGTTGCTAAGCTCTAAGTCAAGCTGTATGTTGCTAAGCTCTAAGTCAAGCTGTATGTTGCTAAGCTCTAAGTCAAGCTGTATGTTGCTAAGCTCTATGTCAAGCTGTATGTTGCTAAGCTCTATGTCAAGCTGTATGCCGTGTGACCCTGCGCCATCCAGGGCGAGGTGGCGAGGAGGCGGTTCGAGAGAGAGAGGCGCGCCAGGCCCGCTCGCCTCCATCGGGGCTCGTCCTGCTGGGGCCCAGCCTCCTCGTGCGCCGCCACGGAGCGGCGTGGAAGCAAGAGGGTGTTCAGTAAACGTCGACAGATCGAGAGAGAGGAGAGAGAGGAGAGGGAGAGGAGAGGGAGGGGAGAGAGAGAGCGGCGTCCCTCACCTTGCGGGCGGGCGGAGAGCGCGGCCGAGTGGCTGGGACGGTGAAGATGGAACCGGGTCCAGGGCGTCACACCGGGATCCGGATCCTCGTTGCGACATCGCGGGAATCGAATCCCCGTTGCTCCAGGAAAACCGGGTTCTATTGCGTTGCTACGGAAACCCCGTTCCTATTGCGTTGCTACGGAAACCCCGTTCCTATTGCGTTGCTACGGAAACCCCGTTCCTATTGCGTTGCTACGGAAACCCCGTTCCTATTGCGTTGCTACGGAAACCCCGTTCCTATTGCGTTGCTACGGAAACCCCGTTCCTATTGCGTTGCTACGGAAACCCCGTTCCTATTGCGTTGCTACGGAAACCCCGTTCCTATTGCGTTGCTACGGAAACGCCGTTCCTATTGCGTTGTTACGTAAAACCCCGTTCCTATTGCGTTGCTACGGAAACGCCGTTCCTATTGCGTTGTTACGTAAAACCCCGTTCCTATTGCGTTGCTACGTAAAACCCCGTTCCTATTGCCTTGCTACGGAAACCCCGTTCCTATTGCGTTGCTACGGGACCCCGGTTCCTATTGCGTTGTTACGTTAATCCGTTTCCTATTGCGTTGCTATGCAAACAAAGCTCCTATTGCGTTGCTATGCAAACCCGATTCCTATTGCGTTGCTACAGGGCCCCGGTTCCTATTGCGTTGCTATGTAAACCCGGTTCCTGTTGCGTTGCTACAGGGTCCCGGTTCCTATAGCGTTGCTATGGAAACCCAGTTCCTTCTGCGTTGCTAGGGGAATCGGTTTAAAATAGCTCAGTGGAAAGTGACAATTCGATTCGACGGCGTTTTCGATTGCAGAGTCGATAATCGATTGGCCGTCTCGTTGGTCGCTTCAGTCAAAACACAGCGAGTTGGCGCAGTGGGGGGCACGGCTGCTGCATCTGCCATCTCAGTCAATCGGTCAACACATGGCACCTGGGTCTGTCCCGTGACCTCCTGCACCTAGCCTGGCACAGCAGTCAACCCATAACACCTGGGCCTGTCCCGTGACCTCCTGCACCTAGCCTGGCACAGCAGTCAACCCATAGCACCTGGGTCTGTCCCGTGACCTCCTGCACATGACCTGGCACAGCAGTTAACCCATAACACCTGGGTCTGTCCCGTGACCTCCTGCACCTAGCCTGGCACAGCAGTCAACCCATAGCACCTGGGTCTGTCCCGTGACCTCCTGCACCTAGCCTGGCACAGCAGTCAACCCATAACACCTGGGTCTGTCCCGTGATCTCCTGCACCTAGCCTGGCACAGCAGCCAACCCATAGCACCTATAGGGTCTGTCCCGTGACCTCCTGCACCTAGCGTAGCACAGCAGTCAACCCATAACACCTGGGTCTGTCCCGTAACCTCCTACACCTAGCCTGGCACAGCAGTCAACCCATAGCACCTGGGTCTGTCCGGTAACCTGCACCGAGCCTGGCACAGCATTTAACCCATAGCACCTGCAGGGTCTGTCCGGTGACCTCCTGAACCTAGCCTGGCACAGCAGTCAACCATTGGCACCACCTGGGTCTGTCCCGTGACCGCCTCTTTCTACACCTAGCCTGGCACAGCAGTCAACCCATAGCACCTGTAGGGTCTGTCCGGTGACCTCCTGCACCTAGCCTGGCACAGAAATCAACCCATAACACCTGGGTCTGTCCCGTGACCTCTTTCTACACCTAGCCTGGCACAGCAGTCAACCCATAGCACCTGTAGGGTCTGTCCGGTGACCTCCTGCACCTAGCCTGGCACAGAAATCAACCCATAACACCTGGGTCTGTCCCGTGACCTCTTTCTACACCTAGCCTGGCACAGCAGTCAACCCATAGCACCTGTAGGGTCTGTCCCGTGACCTGCATCTAGCCTGGCACAGCAGTCAACCCATAGCACCTGCAGGGCCTGTCCGGTGACCTCCTGAACCTAGCCTGGCACAGCAGTCAACCAATGGCACCACCTGGGTCTGTCCCGTGACCGCCTCTTTCTACACCTAGCCTGGCACAGCAGTCAACCCATAGCACCTGTAGGGTCTGTCCGGTGACCTCCTGCACCTAGCCTGGCACAGAAATCAACCCATAACACCTGGGTCTGTCCCGTGACCTCTTTCTACACCTAGCCTGGCACAGCAGTCAACCCATAGCACCTGTAGGGTCTGTCCCGTGACCTGCATCTAGCCTGGCACAGCAGTCAACCCATAGCACCTGGGTCTGTCCGGTGACCTCCTGCACCGAGCCTGGCACAGCAGTCAACCCATAGCACCTGCAGGGCCTGTCCGGTGACCTCCTGAACCTAGCCTGGCACAGCAGTCAACCAATGGCACCACCTGGGTCTGTCCCGTGACCACCTCTTTCTACACCTAGCCTGGCACAGCAGTCAACCCATAGCACCTGTAGGGTCTGTCCGGTGACCTCCTGCACCTAGCCTGGCACAGAAATCAACCCATAACACCTGGGTCTGTCCCATGACCTCTTTCTACACCTAGCCTGGCACAGCAGTCAACCCATAGCACCTGTAGGGTCTGTCCGGTGACCTCCTGCACCTAGCCTGGCACAGAAATCAACCCATAGCACCTGGGTCTATCCCGTGACGTCGTGCCAGCGAGCGAGCCTTCGACGCGTCACGTGATAGCCTCAAAGTGCACCTGGCCTGGCACAGGCGCCGTGGTGGCGTTAACCAAAAATGTGACAGTTACTTTTGCGCAATAAGTTCAACAATCGTGATGATCGCACTTTGTTAAGCGCAGTCATCGCATACCGCACTCGATGCAGTGCTTGCAGGTTTCCGTCATGATCGATGACAAAATAAATCATTGATTTGTTCCCGTCAGGAGTCTTCGGCGGTTTTATTTTAGGACCCCCGCCTCGTCAGTCTCACGTTCCATAGTTCCTGTCTTGCCTCACGGCAGATGGGGAGCGTACGTTAACAGGAAGTTCCTGTTTTTTGGTGCTAATGTTGGTCACGTGACCAGGAAGTGACGATGTCAGATTTCCACTGTACCACGCGGGCGTCAGCCATTACACATATAAGTCAAGATGGCGGCACGCATCGCATCTCAGTGAGACCACAGCCGCACTTATCCATTGTGGGAGCTTAAGAAGCATTATCTGTAAGTTGTTTATATTCCTCTAATATTGGAAATGCTGTTGTAATGTTGGAATGACCGTTATAGCAATGTAAATGCCTTTATGGTGCCGTTAAGTTGTTGTAGTAAATACGAGGCCTAGTTAGTAACGATGCCTGTGACTTTCCTTATTGTGGATGTTACTTGTGATTTAGTAGGTCGAGTCAGACTTGTGCCTATGGTGCGATCCTGAGAGTGATAACGAAGTATCTCATCCACAGTTTAGTGTTAAGTGTAATGCTGTACATTTGGGGTGCAGTGGGATGAATACACTTGTGCCTTTGTCTAGTTGTTCAGGGGTAACGTGGGGGCCTGGTCCTTCCAGGATCTATTGTTATCTGAGACAATGTTCTGATGCTGTGGTGTTCATTGTGTGGGTGTTTCCGAATTATAACAGATGCTGTATCTGTGTTTTCTCACCAGTTTTACCTGTTAAATCAATAAATGACGATCGGAGTTGGACGGTCATCCTGGCTTCGAGGGTTTATTGAACACATGGTTGTCTACTCGACTAGCGGTGCAACGCAGCGCACAGCGAGGCCGAGATAGTAAAAAGATACTCTTCTTAAAGCTTCCAAGAAGCTCTGCAGCCAGCTCTCAAGCAGTCAGCCTGCAGCAAGCAACCAGCTCTCAAGCAGTCAGCCTGCAGCAAGCAAGGAGCTCTGCAACGAGTCTACATTGAAATCGTGCTGCAAGCATCGCAGCATGGAAAGCCACAGTTCAGCAGGGAGAGATGCTGAAGAAGGTGAACCAAGCAATCCAGGATCTCCTATCCTGCCTCAAGAGGACCAAGGGAGTTCAAGGCCCCAGAGGGAGGTCAGGTTGACGCAACGGGCCTTGGAAAGCTATGAGGCTGAGAAACAGGACCTGGATGCCAGGATACAACGGGCATGGAACCGGGTTGAAGCAGATTTATCCGAAGCTTCAAATGCCTCAGACACAGTGGCCTCAATTCAGCGGGCCATCCAGCGAGTGAAGGTGAGCAGCTCAAGCTACAAGCTCCTGGCAAATAAATACATCTCGCTCCTGATGAAGGTGAAAACAGACGAGGGCATTGAGGGAGTGCGCAGACAAGAACACTTCCTCGAACTGCTCGATGATAATGTGCAGGCAGCGATACAAGATGCAATGGACCGTCTGGAGGGCTTAAGAGAGACACGATCTCAGCACTCTGTCTCATCCAGGTTCACCACAAAATCTAAAGCCTCAGCACACTCAAAGACATCATCTACTAGTATGGCAGCAGCTCAGGCACGCGCAGCAGCAGAAGCAGCAAACGCCCGTATTGCCTACATGGCTGAAGAGGAAGCCATGCTAATTGAAAAGGCCCACATACAAGAAGAAGCAAGCATAGCAACTGCTGCCGCACGGAGGAAAGCAGAACAAGAAAGTATATTAGCAACTGCTGCCGCACGAGAGCAAGAGAGTATATTAGTGGCTACCGCCACGCGGAAGAACATTGAGCTGGATGCTAAGTTAAGCACCCTACAACTCAAAAGGGAAGCAGCTGCTGCAATGGCCCAGGCAGAGGTGCTCGAGGCAGCAGCCAACCTGGATAAGGAAGAGAATTGGAGTGAGTTTGGCACTCAGATACCTGTCAAGGACCGTGATCAACTCACCAGAAAAAATATTTTGGACTGGTCTGAACAATGCATCAATGCTCCTCCACCAAATGATACTGAACAAAGGGTGGACGTTCAGGCATCGCCATCTCCACACCGAATGAACATGAATGCTGTCTACAGGAATGGTGAAAATGCATATCCTGTCCTGGCAGTTAGTCGCAAACTCAGCGTCGCGCACGTGGGGTCAGACGTGGATGCACCAAGTCAGACCCACATTCCAGACAGTCACATAAGGGGATCCAACCAACGTGGTCGAAACCCTTTGGTCCCACAGTCCAACGCCATCGCAAATGACGGCATGCAAGGCAATGCAGCAAATAATAGCACCTCACAAGCGCCAATATGGACACACTCTGGATCAGCAGGACTAGGGGACTTTGCTAGGTACCTAGCTCACCGTGAACTAATCAACACAGGACTTGTTAAGTTTGATGACCACTCTGAGAACTATCGAGCCTGGAGATCTACCTTCAGGAATGCAATCCGAAATGCAGACATCTCTGCAAGTGAAGAACTTGACCTGTTGGTGAAATGGTTAGGAAATGAATCTGCAGAGTACGCAAAGAGGATCCGGTCAGCAAACATTGACGACCCCGCCTCAAGCCTGCATGCGGTGTGGGAGAGGCTCGAGGAGTGCTATGGTAGCCCAGAAACCATTGAGAAGGCTCTCTTTAAGAAGTTGCAGAACTTTCCAAAAATCTCTGGTCGAGACAATAAAAGGTTACGGGAGCTTGGAGATCTTTTGATGGAGCTTGAATCAGCCCAGGCTGATCCCTACTTACCAGGTCTCATTTTCTTGAATACCTACCATGGCGTGAACCCCATCGTAGAGAAATTGCCATTTGACGTGCAGGAAAAATGGAGAACAGCGGGTTCAAGATACAAGTCAGAGCATCAGGTTGCATTCCCCCCATTCTCTTTTTTCTCAAAGTTTATCCGCAACCTGGCTAAGACTAGAAATGACCCGAGTTTCATGTTTGGCACCACGGGGATTTCCAGTCCAGATCTCCCAAAAATGGAAAGAGCAATGGCGAAACGAGGAACAGCGAGAGTGCCAATTTCCGTACACAAGACTGAGGTCTCTCCTACGACATTCGCAAACTCCGTCCAGGCAACCACCACAAAGAAAAGGATAGAGGATCCAGAGAAGCAATGCCCATTGCATGATAAACCTCACTCCCTCCAGAAATGCCGTGAGTTCAGGAGGAAGCCATTGGAAGAGCGGAAGAACATGCTGAAAGAATTTGGAGTGTGCTTCAAATGCTGTGCTTCTACAAACCACCTTGCAAGGAATTGCAAGGCAGTTATCAAGTGCGAGGAATGTGGCAGCGACAAACACGCAACTGCTCTGCACACATTTTACTCGAAACCCAGTAGCACTAAGGCTTCCGATCCCGAAGCAGAGCACGGCGGGGAGCAAGGCGAGACCGCCGCACTCACTTCGTCAATCACAACCAAATGCACAGAAGTCTGTGGAGAAGGCTTCAAAGGAAGATCTTGCTCAAAGATATGCCTCGTCCGAGTCTATCCCAAAGGACATCCTGAAAGGGCAGTAAGGATGTACGCCATAATGGACGACCAGAGCAACAGGTCTTTGGCAAGATCAGAGTTCTTTGATCAGCTAAGTGTAGGTGGGAATTCCTTTCCATACACGCTCAGAACATGCTCAGGACTGATGGAGACAGCGGGAAGAAGAGTGAGCGGCCTCATGGTGGAAACCATAGATAGCACCATGAAGCTAGCCCTTCCTACGGTGACAGAGTGCAACGAGATACCGGACGACAGGAGTGAGATTCCCACGCCCGAAGTTGCACGTCACCACCCACACCTGAAACCCATAGCAGAGTTCATCCCGCCATTGGATCACGCGGCACAGATTTTACTTCTGCTCGGCAGGGACATGCTGAGAGTCCACAAGGTTCGTAACCAACGCAATGGACCTCACGACGCTCCCTATGCCCAGAGACTCGACCTAGGATGGGTCATCATAGGTGACGTTTGTCTCGATGGGACCCACAAACCAGACCACATTAGCACATTCAGAACGAGTGTGCTCATGAATGGACGCACGTCGCTCTTCAAACCGGGCCCCAACCACTTCACGCTGAAAGAGAAACTCGGCGAGAGAATTTAAGGCTGTACCATGCAGGCCGACGAAGGAACCTCTATGCTGAAAGATGATGTTGGACATACGGTGTTCGTGACAACGAAGGACGATGACAAACCTGCTCCATCGCTAGAGGATAAAGAATTCTTGAAAATAATGGACGGAGAGTTCTTCCAAGATGAGTCAAACAGTTGGGTTGCCCCTCTGCCATTTCGTAATCCCAGATGCCGGCTACCCAACAATAGAGAGCAAGCCCTCTCACGGCTCAACTCATTGCGCCGCACCTTGGACAATAAACCAGAGATGAAGAAACATTTTGTGTCCTTCATGAAAGACATATTTGACAGTGGTCACGCTGAAGCAGCCCCTCCTCTAGAAGAAGGACAGGAATGCTGGTACTTACCAATCTTTGGCGTGTATCACCCAAAGAAGCCGGATCAGATCAGAGTGGTGTTCGATTCCAGTGCTCAATTTAATAGCATTTCCTTGAACAACGTAATGCTCACTGGACCTGACTTGAACAACAGTCTCCTCGGGTTACTCATCCGTTTCAGAAAGGAGTCAATCGCCGTAACCGCCGACATTCAACAAATGTTCCACTGCTTCATTGTCCGAGAAGATGACATAAATTACCTCAGGTTTCTGTGGTACCGCAATAACAACGTCGATGATCGAATTGTTGAATACAGAATGAAGGTGCATGTCTTCGGCAACAGCCCATCCCCAGCGGTAGCCACCTATGGACTGAGGAGGACCGCGCAGGCAGGAGAAGGGGAATATGGGAAAGACGCCAAGCGATTTGTAGAGCGAGATTTCTACGTTGACGATGCACTTAAATCAATGCCCACGGCCTCACAAGCCATCGATCTGCTCCAAAGGACGCAAGGAATGTTAGCAACTGCTAACCTGAGACTTCACAAAATAGCGTCCAGCAGCGCAGAGGTGATAAAAGCGTTTCCTTCCGACGATCGTTCAAAAGACTTGAAAGACTTGGACCTTAACGTCGACACACCACCAATCCAACGCAGCCTTGGACTGAGTTGGGACCTGAAAACGGATACGTTCACGTTCCGAGTATCAATTGGAGAGAAACCTTACACGCGACGAGGCATCTTGTCAATGGTAAACAGCCTGTACGATCCATTGGGATTTGTAGCGCCGGTTATCATTCAAGGCCGTTGGATACTCAGAGACCTTTGTGCTGATACACAAGACTGGGATAGCCCGTTGCCAGAGGAACGGCGACAAGAATGGGAAACTTGGAGAAATTCCTTACAGGCACTTGAGCAGCTGCAGATTCCTCGTTCCTACACGCCCACATCCCTTTCCGTAACCCAACGGAAAGAGTTACATGTGTTTGCAGATGCTTCTATGATGGCCGTAGCAGCCGTAGCTTACCTAAAAACCACAAGCGCAGAAGGGATCCAGCATGTTGGGTTCATATTGGGCAAAGCCAAACTGGCCCCACAACCGGAACATACCATCCCAAGGCTCGAGCTGTGCGGAGCCGTTCTTGCTACAGAGGTGGCGGAACTGATCTTAGACGAATTTGACGTCAAACTGGACGCGGTCAAGTTCTACACGGACAGTAAGGTCGTACTAGGCTACATAAACAACCAAACCAGAAGGTTCTACACCTACATCAGCAACCGGGTGGAGCGCATCAGGAGATCGACGCAGCCGGAGCAATGGAATTACGTTCCAACTGACCAGAATCCAGCAGATCTCGCAACTAGGTCCGTCCCTGCATCTCTGCTGAATCAAACCATCTGGCTGACGGGTCCAGCATTCCTGTTACGACGTGACGGTGGCCCATGTACTACCAAGGAGACCTTTGGACTCATAGAGCCCGAGTCCGACAAGGAGATTCGTCCTCTAGTGACAACTTTCGTAACAAATGTGCGACCAAGAAGTCCACTGAGTCCACACCATTTTGAACATTTCTCGAAATGGACGACACTTGTGCGAGCGATAGCACATTTAACGCATATCGCAGACTGCTTCCATCGCCCGATGAGAGGCACCACTGGTGGCTGCAATGGATGGCATTACTGCACAGTGCCACGCACTGAAGACGAGCTTTCCAGAGCAAGGAAATCAATCTTCCGCTGTGTGCAACAGGCAGCTTATGCAAGTGAGATCAAGGCCATCAACAAGGGAGAAGACCTTCCTAGGGTCAGCACCCTCAGGAAGCTAAACCCCGGGATGGACAAAGACGACTTGCTCAGGATCGGTGGTCGGCTAGGGAATGCAAAATTAGATGAGAATGAACGAAACCCCCTCATAATCCCAAGCCAGAGCCACATCGCAATCTTACTCGTGCGCCACTACCACGAGAAGGTTAAGCACCAAGGTCAGCACTTCACAGAAGGAGCAATCCGATCTGCAGGGCTGTGGATCGTTGGAGCAAAGAGGTGCATCGCCAGCACAATCCACAAGTGTATCCGGTGTCGCAAGCTACGTGGAAAACAGGAAGAACAGAAAATGGCAGACCTCCCAGCCGATCGACTCAGTGTGGAACCTCCCTTCACCTCTGTAGGGATTGACGTGTTCGGACCGTGGACAGTCATCTCCCGTCGCACCAGAGGAGGGCTCGCGAACAGCAAACGTTGGGCAGTGCTGTTCACCTGTATGAGTACACGAGCAGTGCACATCGAAGTCATCGAGTCCATGGACTCTTCGAGCTTTATAAATGCACTCCGGAGGTTCTTCGCCATCAGAGGGCCAGCCAAGCAACTCCGTTCTGATTGTGGAACCAATTTCATAGGAGCATGTAAAGAGCTTAAGATCAATACGGAGAATGTCGAAGATTATTCTGTCAGGAAATACCTTAGTGATCAAGGCTGCACATGGATCTTCAATCCTCCCCACTCTTCGCACATGGGTGGAGCCTGGGAACGCATGATCGGGATTGCTCGACGCATTCTCGACTCCATGCTATGTGATGTCGGGTCCACACGGCTCTCTCACGAGGTCTTGACCACTCTCATGGCCGAGGTTTCAGCCATAATTAACTCAAGACCCCTGATTCCCGTCTCAACCGACCCGGAGTCACCATTCATCTTGACTCCTGCTACACTTCTTACCCAGAAGACAGATGTGCTCACAGCACCTACCGAGGAGGCCAGCACTGCAGACCTCTACAGACGTCAATGGAGACAAGTGCAGAGCTTCGCGAACACGTTCTGGCATCGCTGGAAAAACGAGTACCTTACGACACTCCAAGTGCGCAACAAGTGGCAGTCTAATAGACCAGACATCCAAGAAGGCGACCTCGTCCTACTGAAGGACAACCAAGCCAAACGGAATGAGTGGCCAATGGGCCGCATCCTCAAGTCGATTCCAAGTGCCGATGGAAAAGTTCGAAAGGTCGAGGTTATGATTGCGAAGCAAGGTGTCGCAAGAACTTTCATCAGGCCCATAGTCGAGATAGTACTACTTCTCTCTCGCAAAGATATGGACAAATAAGTCGACCCGTTGAAGTTGTTATACACTTGTTTATGAGATAGGAAATAAATGGTGGTATCTCCTAGATACCAGACGGGGAGTGTCTTGCCTCACGGCAGATGGGGAGCGTACGTTAACAGGAAGTTCCTGTTTTTTGGTGCTAATGTTGGTCACGTGACCAGGAAGTGACGATGTCAGATTTCCACTGTACCACGCGGGCGTCAGCCATTACACATATAAGTCAAGATGGCGGCACGCATCGCATCTCAGTGAGACCACAGCCGCACTTATCCATTGTGGGAGCTTAAGAAGCATTATCTGTAAGTTGTTTATAGTCCTCTAATATTGGAAATGCTGTTGTAATGTTGGAATGACCGTTATAGCAATGTAAATGCCTTTATGGTGCCGTTAAGTTGTTGTAGTAAATACGAGGCCTAGTTAGTAACGATGCCTGTGACTTTCCTTATTGTGGATGTTACTTGTGATTTAGTAGGTCGAGTCAGACTTGTGCCTATGGTGCGATCCTGAGAGTGATAACGAAGTATCTCATCCACAGTTTAGTGTTAAGTGTAATGCTGTACATTTGGGGTGCAGTGGGATGAATACACTTGTGCCTTTGTCTAGTTGTTCAGGGGTAACGTGGGGGCCTGGTCCTTCCAGGATCTCTTGTTATCTGAGACAATGTTCTGATGCTGTGGTGTTCATTGTGTGGGTGTTTCCGAATTATAACAGATGCTGTATCTGTGTTTTCTCACCAGTTTTACCTGTTAAATCAATAAATGACGATCGGAGTTGGACGGTCATCCTGGCTTCGAGGGTTTATTGAACACATGGTTGTTTACTCGACTAGCGGTGCAACGCAGCGCACAGCGAGGCCGAGATAGTTCCAGCTCCGCGACAGATCGGCATCGATGTCACAACCCACGCGGTTTAGCCCTGATAAGGGGTTGACAGGTATGGTATAGTGTAGTGTATAGTATTGTAGTGTATTGTAGCAGATGCGTTCTGGCAAAACAACCCCATACCTCGTGGTGCCGGATGGGCAACGCTGTCATAGACAGTGCTGTGGGGGAAGGGACAATTCCGATTGGCCTTTTCCCTCATGGCATTTCTAACCACCACAGCGGCCAAATGGGGGCTCTGGACGGGTGCGAGGGGTTGGTAACCGCTCCACCTTCAATGAATTGCCACTAAACCACGACGACAAAATTTAATGAATAAACTTGTGCCGGAGACCCCGGGGTGACAGGCATCTATGACGTCTATTAGCCAAACCCCATTTGGCGGAGCTAGGAGACTGAAACCTTACCCTTGGGGCTCCTCCAGAAACAAAAAAAACCACTACGTGTGGTCACGTGGAATGTTGAACGCTCACTGCGGATGAGAGGCTGCCACTCCTCTGTCAGGAGCTGGACCGGTACCGCCTGGATCTCTGTGGTATTCAGGAGGTCCGGTGGACCGGCTTTGGCTCCTGCCACCATGAGGGGTGGACAGTCCTCTACTCGGGGCAGGAGACTGCCAAACAACAGGGTGTGGCTCTTCTTCTGAATAAAAGAATGAAGGGGGCACGGGAGCGTGGCGGTGAGGTGTGGGAAGTTGTGAGCCCCAGGCTACTTTGGGCTCGCCTTCCCATCAACCAGAGGCGCGGAGTGGTGGTCCTGGTTACTTATGCCCCTACCGAAGATGAACATCAGTGGAGGAATGCAGGCAAGGCCGATGAGTCGGATGCCTTCTATGACCTCCTGTCACAGGTGCTAGCTAAAGTGGCCCCTCGGGATAAAGTCATCTTGTTGGGTGACTTCAATGCCCGAGTTGGTCATGATGCTGGTACCTGGTCTGGAGTAATTGGAAGGCATGGGCCAGATCAGCTCAATAACAACGGCAGGAGGCTGCTAGATTATTGTGCAGCTCATGGGCTTGTAATTACCAACATGCTGTTCCGCAATCGGCACATCCACACCACATCATGGATGCATGCCGGGTCTAAGCAAGAACATCTGCTGGACTACATAATGATACAACAGCGGATGCGTGCCCATGTCCTTGACACCAGGACCTACCGTGGAGCTGATCTGCTCACTAACCATCGACTTGTCATCTGTAAGATGCACCTGCCATTCTTCCACTCCGGTGGTGGGTGTACACCCAGGACCCCATTCAAACCCTTAGTGGCATGGTCTCAGCTAGCAGATGAAAGTTGCAAGTGAGAATTTCATCATCGCTTGCGGCTGGGGTTGGCATCGTCCCCCACTCCTCCTGATGTCGAGGGGAAATGGGCGAGGTTTAGGACTGTGGCTCATGCAGCTGCATTGGCTGCTTTGGGTACATGGTCCAGACCTCCCCAAAGACCCTGGCTGACAGAGGAGGTGTTCAGGCTGGCTGAGAAAAAGCGACAGGCCCACTCTAATCGTCTACAGCATCCCACGTCAGAGAATGAGGAGGCTTACTGCAGCCTTCGGTCAGAAGTTCGGAGAGCCGTGAGGCGCTGCAAGGATGGGTGGTGGTTGCGGGTTGCTGAGGAGATGGAGTCTGCCTCAATGGAATGCGATCACAAATCGCCCTTTAATTCCATCAAAAAAGTAACCTGCAGCACCACACCTATTAACATCATTAGGGGAAAGAACGGTGATCCAATCTCCGACCCCCAGGGACAGGTTTGCAGATTTCCTGAGCATTTATGTGAGGTCCTGGGGAAGGGGAAATCCCTCAGCCAGGAAAACAACGTGGGACAAAGTGGCAATGACCCTGCCGAGGCTGCGGTGCCTTAAATATTGGAAGAAGAAGTCACCCCCTGTGAGTGGCTGGCTGAGGAGCCATCTGTTGAGGAAGTACTGAAGGCGATCCAGAGTCTGAGACCAGGAAAGGCACCGGGCAGAGATGATCTCCCAAGCAAAATGCTGAGGGAGGGTGGTGTTTGTGCACAGACTGCCCTACATGACATCATAACAACAGTCTGGACCACTGGATGGGTTTCGCAGGATTAGAAGGATGCCCTGGTGGTCCCCCTCTTTAAGAAGGGGGACCGCACAGACTGTAACAACTACAGGAGTATCTCACTCCTCAGTATGCCGGGAAAGCTCCTGGCAAGGATTATTCAACATCGCCTTGCCAGGCACGCTGAGGAGAGGATTGCAGAGCCCCAATGCGGTTTCAGGAAAGGGCGGTCCTACACAGATGCCATATTTTCTGTCCATCTGCTACAGCAGAGGTGTAGGGAATTCCAACAAGACCTACAACTCTGCTTTATTGACCTGGTCAAGGCCTATGATACCATCCGCAGGCCTGGGCTCTGGGTTGTTCTTTGTGCTTTCGAAGTCCCTGGCCCTCTGCTCATGATAATTAAGGACATTAATGATGGTGAGTGGGCCCGGGTAAAACTACGTGGCCGGGAGTCAGAGCCATTCCATGTACACCTTGGGGTGCGACAGCGATGTCCTCTTACTCCCACATTATTTAACATCTATTTTGACCACTTAAGTTCGTGAAGCCTTCAATAGCTGTACTGGAGGAATTCCATCCGGTACACATACAATGAGAGGCTGATCGATGCCCGGGTGCAGTCAAGAGATGGATCCCTATTTTTCAAACATGTTATGTATGCCGATGATCTGGTTATTGCTGTTCACTCAGAGGAGGAGTTGGAGGCGCTGCTGCTGAACCTGGAACTTGCCACTAAGAGGTGGGGCCTTACCATCAGCCCCACCAAAACTAAGCACCTGCCTGAGTATTTGTGCCTACGATCCATCCTGGGTTTAACCAGGCTGGATTGTGTGAGTCCCATCAGTGAGCTCCTCCGGCAAGCAAGGCTGTGTTGGCTGGGCCATGTAGCCCGCATGCCCAGCCATTGCATGCCTAAACAGCTTTTGTTCGGCCGGATCAAAGGGACTAAACGGGCGCGGCATGTGCTAGAGAAGAGATGGAGTTTTGTGGTACAGGAGGATGTGGAGCCGAGTGGACTTGCCGATGACTGGTACCAGCGGTGTCAAGATCGGCCTCTGTGGAGGAGGCTCGTGAAGGACGCTACTGGGCAGTTGGAGGCAGTCGCCCTCCAACAACAACGGAGGGCGGAGGAGCGACGCTCACAACAACGAGCGGAGCGCCGGGTGGCGAAAGCACAGCAAGTTGGCACAGTAGGGGGCATAGGTGGTGCATCAGCTAGTTGTCACAGTCAGTCGACCTGTGGCATCTGGGTCTGCCCCGTGACCTCCTGCCAGCAGGCGCTCGACACTTCACGTGGCCTCAAGGTGCACATAGCCTGGCACAAGCATCGTGGTGACGTCACCGCCACTTAGTGGCGAATGGCGGTTGTTGTTGTTGTCGTGTCTGGTGTAGTGTATAGTATTGTATAGTAGTGGAGTGTATATTGTAGTGTATAGTATTGTATAGTAGTGTATAGTAGTGGAGTGTACAATGTAATGTATAGTAGTGTATAGTGCACATAGCCTGGTACACGTGCCGTGGCGATGTCACCGCCACTTCGTGATGAATGGCGGTTGTTGTATAGTAGTGTATAGTGTAGTGTATATAGGGGTGCAGGGAGCTCTGGGTAGAGGTAGTACCTTTATTTTCTGGTAGCTGCACTCAATTTTTGAGTGGACGGAAACACTGGTCCTCATCCATCTTCTAAATCTCTCACGTCTGGCTCCTAGTGCCACACCCCGGTAAACCGCTTCAGCTGGCGGGCTAAACGACGTGAGGGGGTGACGTCAACACTGCATCACTGGGCGAATGAACTCCCACGACGGAGTTACCGGCCAGGGCGGAAGGGTCTCGTTAGGACCCAACGGCCAAGTGTTCGGGACTAAGGCGCGCCACTTCGTTACTGTGGACTACGGCTGTGGCCTACCAGCTATGGTTTGAAATAGCAGGGAAGGTGGATCTCTTCAGCCTTGGAAGGCCGTCTACCTAGGAGAAGGAAACTCTGATGATAATACGGCCCGAGGACCTCGCTGTCACCGTCACAGCTTGCTAGGCCATGGCAGACGAACCCCGGGTTTAAAGGGTGGGGTCAGTTCTGCGCACACTGCACTCCACTTGAAAGCTCCTTTGCGCAAGCAAGAAGGAAATCTTCACCCCCCCCCCCCCCACCGATCTCACTAAGTCCTGTAGCGATGGGAAAGGGGCGAACTCGGCAGGTGTAAGATGACACTGGCAGCCACAGTCTCAATCCTGCATGCAGGCGGCTCAGGCGCTAGTGGTCGTCTGATGATGACCTGGAAACGACATCATCACCCGGCAGCACCCTGAGCGACCAAGCAGCCTTTTCTAGGGACAGCACTGCTTGCTCCACACGGAGAGGGCCCTAGAAAAGGTGGCCTAAACAAAGCTCGTCTCCTCCTCCCTTAGTTGGCTTACCGCGGTCAACGGGCATCTTCATATGCGGTCGAACTATATCAAAGAATCAACGGCGCATACCACTCGCCTTAAAAGGTGGGAAAGGACTCAAACTCGCATGCTGGAACATCAGAACCATGCTAGACTCAGCTGACAGCACTCTACCTGAGCGACGATCTGCTTTAATTGCACACGAACTCGCTCGGCTGGATGTTGACATCGCCGCCCTCAGCGAAATCCGCTTTTCAGAGGAAGGCAGTCTGAGGGAGCATGGCGCAGGTTACACTCTCTACTGGTCAGGCAAACCAGCGACAGAGAGACGCCATTCAGGTGTCGGCTTCATGATCAGGGACTCTATCGCTACCAAGCTTGCAAGCCTGCCAACTGGCCACTCTGACCGCATCATCCCAATGCGTCTACCACTTCGTGACCGCAACACGCAACGCTGCTCAGTGTGTACGCTCCAACTCTCCAGGCAGATCCCGCTGACAAAGACAAGTTTTACTCCGACCTACGCAGCCTTCTGCAGGATATCCCAGCTGATAACAAGATTGTCATCCTTGGCTACTTCAACGCCAGAGTGGGCAGAGACTCGGAAACCTGGAAAGGCGTACTTGGAAGGCACGGTGTGGGCAGCTGCAACGACAATGGACGCTTGTTACTTGAACTCTTTGCGGAACAGGAGCTTTCCATTACCAACACCATCTTCCAGCAGAAAGACAGTCTGAAGATAACCTGGATGCACCCTCGGTCAAAACATTGGCATCTCATAGACTACATCCTAGTGCGCCAGCGTGACCTAAAATATGTCTTTAACACCAGGGTATTGCCCAGCGCCGAGTGTCACACAGACCACCGTCTTGTCCGCTGCAAACTCCGCTTCCACTTTAAGCCCAGACCAAGGAAAGGAGGCGCCCCGAGGAAGAAACTCAAAGTCTGCAGCCTTCAGTCTGCCGCGGTCAAAGCAGCTTTCCAGAAAAGCCTACGATCTCGGCTAGAGGAACCGAGCTGCCTAGCAGACTCGCCTCCGGTTCCTGAAGTGATGTGGGACCGCATCAAAACTGTTGTTCTGCAAACATCTGAAGATACCCTCGGATTCTCCACGAAGAAAAACAGAGATTGGTTCGATGAGAACAACTTAGAAGTCCAGGAGCTGCTGTCAAAGAAGAGATCTGCACACCAGGCTCACCTGGCCCGACCATCCTGCCCACACAAAAAAGCAGCCTTCCACCTGGAATGCAGCACCCTCCAGCGCAAGCTTCTAGAAATTCAAAACGAGTGGTGGACCAACCTCGCAGTAAAAACTCAGGTTTGCGCTGATACCAGCGACTACAGGGGATTCTACGAAGCTCTAAAAGCGGTATATGGCCACTCGTACCAAATCCTGAACCCCCTGCGGAGTGCAGACGGGAAAGAACTGCTCACCGAAAAGGACTCTATCCTGAACCGCTGGTCTGAGTACTTCTACACGCTCTTCAATGCTAGCCGCTCAGTCCAAGAACCAGCGATTGACCGCATCCCACAACAACCAGTGAAAACCGAACTGGATGTGGCACCAACATTACAAGAGACTGAGGAAGCCATTAAACAGCTGAAGAGTGGTAAAGCTGCAGGAGTTGATGTCATCCCTCCTGAAGTATGGAAGAACGGAGGCCCAGCACTGCACACCAAACTCCATGAATTATTCGTCTGCTGCTGGAAGCAGGGTAAACTCCCTCAAGACCTCAAAGATGCAGTCATCATCACCCTGTACAAGAACAAAGGGGAGAAATCAGACTGTTCCAATTATCGTGGCATAACACTTCTGTCCATCGCCGGCAAAATCCTCGCAAGAGTACTGCTGAATAGACTGGTACCCGCAATAGCTGAAGATCACCTCCCAGAGACCCAGTGTGGCTTCAGAGCCAATCGGGGAACCACAGACATGGTGTTTGTCCTGAGGCAGATTCAGGAGAAGTGCCGGGAGCAAAACAAAGCGCTGTACGTCACCTTTGTGGACCTGACAAAAGCGTTTGACACCGTGAGCAGGCAGGGACTTTGGAAAATCTTGGAAAAGCTAGGCTGCCCACCGAAGTTCCTCACCATGATCGTCCAGCTTCATGAAGACCAGCTTGGACAAGTCAGACATAGCAACAATCTCTCGCAGCCCTTCCCTATTGCAAACGGCGTGAAACAGGGCTGTGTTCTTGCTCCCACGCTGTTCACCATTTTGTTCAGCATGATGCTCCAGCAGGCCACAGAGGACCTCGACGACGCTGGTGGCATATACATCCGTTTTCGTCTCGACCGGAGCGTGTTCAACCTCAGGCGTTTGCAGGCCCACACAAAGACCATGGAGCAACTGATCAGGGAGCTGCTGTTTGCTGACGATGCCGCCCTCCTTGCTCACACAGAGGCAGCAATGCAGCGAATTACGTCCTGTTTCGCGAAAACAGCTCAGATCTTCGGTCTTGAAGTCAGCCTGAGGAAGACTGAAGTTCTTCATCAGCCCGCACCCCATGAGGAGCACCATCCACCAATCATCTTCATTGAACAAACATAACTGAAAGTTGTCCACCAGTTCAGCTACTTGGGGTGCGTGATCTCGTCTGATGCCAAGATCGACAACGAAGTCGACAACAGGCTGGCCAAGGCAAACAGTGCATTCGGCAGACTATACAATCGTGTCTGGAACAACAGCAACCTTAAAAGAGACACGAAGGTCAACGTCTACAAAGCTGTTGTGCTGACCACTCTCCTGTATGGTCCTGGGTCACGTACCGTTGTCACCTGAATCTCCTCGAGTGTTTCCATCAGCGCACAATCTTCAATATTCACTGGAGTGACTTCGTCGCCAACACTGAAGTCCTCGAGTCAGCGGAGGTCATCAGCATCGAGGCCATGATCCTCAAGATACAGCTTCGTTGGGCAAGGCACATCGCCAGGATGGAGAACCACCGCTTACCTAAGATTGCGCTGTATGGGGAACTATCCTCTGGCCATCGCGACATAGGGGCACCACGAAAGCGATACAAAGACTCCCTGAAGAAGTCCCTCACTGCTTGTTGCATCGATCACCGTCAGTGGGCAACACAAGCAGCCGATCGCAACTCCTGGCGGCACACAGTCCACCAGGCCACCTCCTTCTTCGAAGATACCCGCAGGGCCCGTATGGAGGACTAAATGAGAAGGAGGAAGAACCATGACCCCTCAGCACCCATCCCAGATCAGACCTATACTTGTAGCCGTTGTGGCAGGACCTGCTTGTCCCGCATAGGCCTCGTCAGCCATCAGCGTGCCTGCAGAAGATGTGGATGTCCTTCCTAGATCTTCGTTCGCGAAGCCAAGTCATGATGGAGTGTATAGTAGTTGCAACCGATACAGTTTACCCCGTATTCCTGTACAGGGAAATTGAGTTTTCAGATCATACGGCGTACAGCTGTTTCAATACGGGCACAAAACATGGTTTTGTCTATTTGTTTGTGTTTCTCTCCTTGTGATGTGACTTTGGAGGATGAACGTTGAGATTTATAAGGGCACGGGGTGACCAATAAAATGTTAATTGGTCTGTAATAAGGTAGGCACTGATAAGGGGTGGACAGATATGCAGTAGTGTGGTGTATCGTATTGTAGAGGAGCATTGTGAGCAACCATAAGGGGGCGAACAGAGGGCGGTGCGAAGCGGGTTGTTAGTCAAAGATGACGTCATGTCACGTGTGGTGGTAGAGGGACCTTCGGGAACAAAGGCTGGCCCGAGCTAGGGGGAGGAGCTTCAGGGGGACCCCGAGACGAAGGCGTGCTCCTCGTCGCCGGGCGGTGTTGGCTGAACCCCCGTCCCGGGCTGATGAGTGGGGGAGCCCCAAAGGATAGCCGAGGGTAGGACAAGATAGTGTCCGGGGCTCCGGGGTAAGGACCAAGATAGAGAGCACCTACCTCTGGTATGAGCTTAAAGTGTTGGATGTAATAATGTTAATACACGGCAACAGCCCTGACAGTATTCATCATCTCCGTGTGGTTATACTGCACAACAGTAGTGTAGTATGCTAGCCTTTTGCCTGTCCTAGGACGGAAGCTAGAATATTTAATTGTATCTTGTGTAAATTTAATGGCAGTGAATCTTGCACGAAACTACGTCATCAAACACTTCACTGCAGTTCACTGTAGCACTGTATTAATGGCAGTGATTCTTGCACAAAACTACGTCATAAAACACCTCACTTCATGTCACTGTAACACTTTATATAACTGACCTTCAATTTGATAATTGGTTTTTCTCCCTTCCATCTGGCAACAGATGACGCCAAAAGGCGTCATGACGCCAAACGGCGTCATCTGGTCCAACCCATGTGAGACTAGGCTCTAAGGAAAGCTGTCTCGGGTGTGGACCAATCAACTTCAAGGACAGTGCACATTATCAGAGTTATGTTTTTTGTTTGCATTATGACTGCAGGTTTTGTGGTCTATGCAAACATGACTCCTTGTAAAAAATGTGTCAGTTTTGTTGCCAGATGGAAGGGTAAAAAAACTATTATCATATTTTTACTGGCAAATGAGGTTCCAATGGTGACGTTCAATTTGTTCAAATGCAATGCTCTGATACTCGATTCTCTTCTGCTTTCGGTCGCTGGGGTTGGAATTAATTAGAAATCGATACAATATCTGGAAAATCACCGAGAATGTCTATTTTCCTATAATGTAGAAGCATAAATTGGACTTACCTTTTTGTCTCAAGTGCTGAAGAAATAAATTAAGACACCAAATCCACTTTATTGCTGCGTAGAATAATTGATTAGATTCACGTTCAAAAAGACAAACGTCAAACTTAAAGCGAATTTGCGGAAAAAAAATATTTCCGCTCGAACTTCTGCGTGAGTGTAAAAATCCACCCGCTCATGAATATTAATGACAGGGGGTGGGGCATGTGGAGTGACGTCAAGCGCGTTACACACAAGCAGACCTTATTGGCTCATTACAGCAGTAATCGTAGCGTAGTGTACACCACCCCTCACTCACACCACACCACCCCTCACTCACACCACCCCTAACTCACACCACACCACCCCCCACTCACACCACACCACCCCTCACTCACACCACACCATCCCTCACTCACACCACACCACCCCTAATTCACACCACACCACCCCCGACTCACACCACACCACCCCCCACTCACACCACAACACCCCCCACTAACACCACCCCACCCCTCACTCACACCACATCACCACTCACTAACACCACCCCACCCCTCACTCAAACCACATCACCACTCACACCACCCCATCCCTCACTCACACCATAGCACCCCCCACTCACACCACTCCACTCCTCACTCACACCACACCACCCCTCACTCACACCACCCACCACTCACTCACACCACACCACTCACTCACACCACTCCACCCCCCACTCACACCACACCACCCCTCATTCACTCACACCACACCTCACTCACACCACACCACCACTCACTCACACCACACTACCACTCACACCACCCCACCACTCACACCACACCACCCCTCACTCACACCACACCACCCCCCCACTCACACCACACCACCCCTCACTCACCCCCCCCCCCCCACTCACACCATACCACCCCCCACTCACACCACTCCACTCCACTCCTCACTCACACCACTCCCGACTCACAACACACCACCCCTCACTCACACCACACCACCACTCACTCACACCACACCACTCACTCACACCACACCACCCCCCACTCACACCACACCACCCCTCATTCACTCACACCACACCTCACTCACACCACACCACCACCCACTCACCCACACTACCACTCACACCACCCCACCACTCACACCACACCACCCCTCACTCACACCACACCACACCACACCACCACTCACTCACACCACACCACCCCGCACTCACACCACACCACCCCCCACTCACACCACACCACCCCTCACCAGACCACACCACCCCCCACACACACCACACCACCACTCACTCAAGCCACACCACTCACTCACACCACACCACCCCTCACTCACAACACACCACCCCCACTCACACCACACCACCCCTCACAACACACCACCACTCACACCACACCACCCCCCCACTCACACCACACCACCCCTCACTCAAACCACACCACTCACTGACACCACGCCACCCCTCACTCACACCACACCACCACTCACACCACACCACCCCCACTCACACCACACCACCTCTCACTCACACCACACCACCACTCACTCACAACACACCACTCACACCACACCACCTCTCACTCATACCACACCACCACTCACATCACACCACCCCTCACTCACACCACACCACCACTCACACCACACCACCCCCACTCACACCACACCACCTCTCACTCACACCACACTACCACTCACTCACAACACACCTCACTCACACCACACCACCACTCACTCGCACCACCCCACCACCCACTAACACCACACCACCCCTCACTCACACCACATCACCACTCACACAACACCATCCCTCACTCACACCACACCACTCCACTCCTCACTCACACCACCCCCGACTCACAACACACCACCCCCCACTTACACCACACCACTCCTCACACACACCACAACACCCATGACTCACACCACACCACCCCTCACTCACACCACACCACCACTCACTCACACCACACCACTCACTCACACCACACCACCCCCCCCCACTCACACCACACCACCCTCATTCAGTCACACCACACCTCACTCACACCACACCACCACTCACTCACACCACACTACCACTCACACCACCACCCCTCACTCACACCACAAAACCCCCCACTCACATCACACCACCTCTCACCAGACCACACCACTCCCCACTCACACCACACCACCACTCACTCCACACCACCCCTCATTCACTCACACCCCCCCCCCCCCACTCACACCACACCACCCCCCACTCACACCACACCACCCCCCACTCACAACACAGGACCTCTCACTCACACCACACCACCACTCACACCACCCCCCAATCACACCACACCACCCCCCACTCACACCACACCACCCCCCACTCACACCACACCACCTCTCACTCACACCACACCACCACTCACATCACACCACCCCCCACTCACACCACACCACCTCTCACTCATACCACACCACCACTCACATCACACCACCCCTCACTCACACCACACCACCACTCACACCACACCACCTCTCACTCACTCACACCACACCACTACTCACTCACACCTCACTCACACCACACCACCCCCCACTCACAGGACACCACCTCTCACTCACACCACACCACCACTCACTCACAGGACACCACC